TATGATGAATGATGATATGAATATCAATAAATGTTATTTTCACCGCATATATCATTTTTTTTTAATTTCATTTGATTCTGTTCATCCAGCAATAAATCAAAGTATTCTTCTAAAATTCTTTAACAATGAAAGTAATTTTTAAATCGCAATTCCTTATGAAAAATCACTAACAGAAAATGTAGTATCAGAAAAAATAAGACTAAGGTCGCAACTACTATTAAATAGAAAATGACTTATATTTTATTTAGATCTCGATCCTACATATAATTGTATACAACCTCATCGTTATCCAAAAGCAACATCAAAACGATACTATTTTTAAAATAAACAAATGACAGTCCTTTTGTTACTGTGAGCCAAAGCATGCACTGGTTGCTAGCCTGTAAAATCAACATATGCCATGCATATGCAGGACACGTTATATTATAAGGGCCATCATACACGCACCTTTTTATAGGTTATAAAAAAACGTATGTGTATTATGGGAGAGGGGCTCGGCTACCAGTAACCTCACTCCCTGGTGTTCTGTTCCTTCGCTTGCTATGAACATTTTAGGTTTTACGACTCTTTTTTGATGTATCGTGTTATAGCCACATAGAAAGATACACAACAAAAAAATAGAGAAGCTTCAAAGATATTGAAGCTCCTGAACTACTAAAATGGACGATCATATCTTATTATTATTGATAGTCTAGAGTACTGAGTGCTCTGCTCGAACAAGAGTTTTAATGTGAATACAGTCAAACCAGCAATAACAAACGACCTAGCATGAATAAAGTTCAAGGAGAGAAGTCAAAATAGGTCTAAGTATATTAGGAAAAAAAGCCTTTCATTATTAAGTCTCAAATATACTAAATATTGTGGCTATGGGAACAGCTCCTAACCTATTCAGGATCGAGTTGCAAACAATGCTCTGTCCGTAACTGGATGTATGACGTCAAAGAATGTAGACCTATATTCGATGAACAAATGTTATGAGTGTTGATATTCAGACCGTAATAAACCTATACTCTGTCCTTTTATTTTCTTTATAACAGTTGCTTCAGAACAAAAATGTCCCAGTTAAATAAATAAATTTAAATTTCGTAAAATTTTGGCATTACATTTTTTTTTCAAAATAAATTATTATTGTTTTACTCATTGAAAATATTCTACATCAATATAAAAACGCCTTTCATCCAGTACAAGTCAAAGTTCAAGTTCAAACCTAGAGTAATTAACACACGCACACCAGATTCGTCACTTGAGTCCTAAGTAAAATTAATATAAGTTCTTATCAACATGAACATAACTAAATAATTTATTAACCGAGTTTGCATTATTAGTTAATCAACTTTTCAACTAATTAATTTTCTAAGAATTGACAAAACAGAAGGATTTCATAATTTTTCAAAGAAATATACAGCACATCTATATTGGACGAACGACACGACGAGGCAGAAGAAGGAGGAACTCAAGTGGTTTAAGTATTACGTTTCAGCACTAAATCTCTATTTTTGTGGTTTGGAAATCAAAACATGTAAAAATGTACTTAGTCAGTTTTAAAGATGAACATAATATGCGAATTTATATGTGTATAATTGTAACGAGAGCAAGAAATACATTGCGTTACACTTGCGCAGCTATCTTACTAAAATATGAACGCCTAATGTCTTGGAACTTGGTTTTTAACTTAATTCGTCGTAACGACAAAATTTATATATTTTGCGAAGGTTTGTGTTTGTCAAGCTTCCATGCCAAAACGAATGAACCAAATATTGAGAAATTTCGCATACGTTGTCTAGGGTACATTAAGAGGAAGGAATACCTAGAATACAAGGAATACCTGGATTAATTGAGAAAATTTACATGAGGAAAGCTCCGGGCAGGCTCTAGTGTAATATAAAAATAACCCAATTGCCACTTACATTCCGGTTAGAGCATCGTCAGTATGATCGGATAGGCGAAGCGATTAAAATAAAATTTCTAACTGTCTGAGACTAGCCTCTCTATTGTCTTCGGCATTTTTCAAATATCTACCTAGAAATCGTACAACCCCCTTCATTAATGTCCGTTTTATCTCACAATTATCTAAGATTAGTGATGCATCACTGCTGTGCTTTCTCTCTTTCTTATACCTACCTTACCTTATCTGATTGAGTCGTTCTAACGGTTCTTCGTCTAGTATCTGTAAACTTAACAGAAAACCGCATTAAATGCGGTGTAAGGTATAGGTTTTTTATGCATTTTCCTGCTAGTTAATATTTAATGGAGACTTCTGCTTTTGTTTCATTTATTTATATATATATATATATATATTATTCGATTCATTACGATTAAAACTCAACCAACTCAAACTACGATGTCTCTACCAGTCCAGTCTGACCCAGTATCTACGATGTCAGTTCTTTGTCTAGAGAGATGATATCGCTAGTCTCCCGCTAACCCTGGCTACAATATCCAACGACTCCGATAACTTGGAGTAGAGTATACCTAGTTGTGCCTTTGAGAAGATTAGCCAGATACGAGCATTCCACTTTATTAGCAAGATGTCGATCTACTTAAAGTTTTTATTACTTTTTATAAACTTGAAATATTAGAAACCAAGTCTCTGCAGGATAATATCATAAAGAACCATCCATACCATCTCTTGCCGGGGGTCAAAAGCCTCCGTAAGATCATGTTTACAGCGCCAACAAATTTGGAAAAAAAGTCGACCTTGCAAGAGAATACAAGAAACAACAATTTAAAACAATAGATACTTACGCACAACCCTGCTTATGAAAAGACCTTTCCTTTACCTTAAAGATAATTAAATTATATAATTCCAAAGTAATATTGTTTAATGAGGTCTCACGGTGTGTATTGCGGTCACGTGCGATTGCTCGGGCAGACGAACAGTCGCCCGACGAGGTAACAACATAAAAGTATATAACAGTGTTGTAATACCTATCTCTTTTTAAACGAAGTCCATCGGCGTAAGGACATCGAATGATCGATACCTCAAGGTCACCCTTTTCAAACATTTATTTTTTGTCAGAAACTGTACTAAATTAAATTTAATGTATGTAAGTATTGTGTGCTGACGTCGAAAGAGAAAGTAGTAATTATTGTTTCATATGGAGTATTCTTTGCTTATTTGTGAAGGGTAATTATAAATTCAACGGAAGAAATCTGTTGAAAATGAAATTAATGCCGTGTAAAATAGAGTACACCTAATATTAAAACGTTTCAATTTGTACTGGTAGAATAATTTCTTAGAAGCTAGCGTCTTGCCCAGACCGATATCCATTTGGATACCAGCTGGTTTATTATTACTTTTTGCTCTTTTTTTAACTGAAGCCTGACAGTCGACACAACGCTTTCAAGCAATTCATCATCATCATCAACAGTCTTTGATAGTCCACTGCTGGACATAGGCCTCTCCTTAGAAAGTTAGTTAGTGGTAATACCTTGCTATATTAAAATCAATATGAATGTGGATTCATGCACTACATTATAAAAAAACAAAAAGTAAATCTCGAACTGTATAATATGAAAAGTTTCACATCTGCACTTAAGTAAACCTATAGTTTATTGAGTTACCATCTGTTGCAGAACTCAACGCTCTCCTTATCAAGCTTTCCATAACCGAGCGAACTAATTCCAGCCTTCGTAATACTTTCGATTTCAGTGCGCACGCCCATACAATACATTGGTGTAGCGCCAGTTTATAGCACTACTCTTTGTGAATTACTAATGAGTTTTAGACGCTTAAAATGGTAGTTAGAATCCAAATTTTTGACCGTTTGGCTATCAAGGCTGTCTTCTGACTTATTCATATTTACTAAATTGGCAAATAAACACACGACCCACATTATGTATTTATGGATAAATTGGCAATACTAGCAAATGCGCGTGTAATTGATAGCGACCTATTTACCAACAGAAATATAGATAGACGCAAGACGCAAACTGCGGTTCGCTAGTACAGTAAAGTCTGTCCAGCTAAAGTATTCAGGCTAAAATCTGCGAAATATTACACCTTAAAATTTTGTAGAATAAATAATCGTCAAGATACTGTAAATAGGTCGATCACATTAATGTTATTTTAATAGTTTAAAGTGCTAAAGTCTAGCAGACAGGGTTAAAAATAGCTTATTGATCCACTATACCTTTATCAATAATTTAGTTACATGTGCTATGTCAATGTCAAATAAGACAAAAAAAATATGTTATCTATTTTTAAATACTTTGTCTATAAATTTAAAATGGCGTCGTCTTTTAGGAACCCTTCACCACTTGTACTGTCGTTTAACGTGGGTTGAAGAGGTATAATCTCAATGGCACATGTAAGTCACGCCTTTAGAAAGTGAGTTTGAAGTTTACTAGCCGTGGTCGTGGGAACTTCGCATCGTCACGCCCATTCCTACTCTTTAATTAAGTGATTAATGCAACAGTTCCGCCTTTGAATGCTTCCGGTATATTCAAATGCCGTCATTTATTGTGGCTTTTAATTTAAAGAGACAGTTACATTTTGTTTCACATGTAGCAGTTTTGTGTTAACAGGTACCATAAATCTTTTCAAGTCTTAACTAATGTATGCAGCAGTTTTGTTGAAATTCAAAAGAAGCAATTAACCGACTCGTAGTAAACTCAGACATAAAACAACTTTATGTTTCATATGAAGACTAACTGCACATTTAACAGTGCGGCATTAGGTTTGCTAGATGATGACTTAATCCAAAAGTAATATCTCAATTCAAGGAATTCTATAGGGAAGTATTTTGACACAGTCTTTGTAGATTTAAATCTAAGAAAGACGTATATCAGCAGCAGCGTAAGCGGCTGGTAAAAGCAATATTGAAGTGACTTCTTCAGGGTCATCACGCTTCCGTTCTGCCAGTTGTTTATCGATACATATAATCAAAAATAGCTTTAGGTACGCCTAAATAATTGCGATATCTTTGTTGTGTTGAATTTAGACTTGTTACTTATGAAGACTTTGGCATAGGAATAAGAATGAACTTTTCTTTTCCCAGACGGGCTCCGGCAAGACATACACGATGGGTAGCGGTTGGGAAGGCGAAGGTGACGGAGATGAGGACAGACGCGGCATCATCCCTCGTGCAATCCGAGATCTATTCGCCGGCGCAGAAGCAAGAGCTGAAGCAGCGCGTGCTCAGGGTCAACTACCGCCAGAATTCTCTGTGCAAACCCAGTTCATAGAGCTTTATAATGAAGATATTGTAGATCTGCTCGATCCTGCTAAAGATCCTTTTGCTAAGGTTTGTACACAATATTTACTATTCAGAATGAATTACTAGTAAATTTAAATCACCCAATAGACACCGACGTAATATTTTATTAAATATCCAAGACACCAGGGCCATCTGAATGATTTAGGTGTATCTCTGGACAAATGACAAATAAGGTAGGCCATGAATAGCCCGAAGACATCATACTTAAACTAAAATATATGGATTGGAATAAGAAGTCATTGAACTTACTTAATTAGGTTAGTTAGTAGCGTAATAAAGATATATCTTGCCGGACAGCGGCATCTTCACATAACTAATGAAGTAGAGAATAGACGAGCGGGAGATGTGACCTGCCACCGCTTATACACATTTATATGAAATCCACCAAGTCGTTTATCGATAACTACTTATCGATGCATACATAAAGCTATGCGTGCGATTGTTAGGTTTTGTTGTATGCTGGCGTATTGGCATGCGATCAATATTTAATTTATTATATTGCTGCGTGAGTTATTTTATTTAATTGTGTAGTAAACGTACCCAAGTATGGCAAATATGTTAATATCTTCCATTATCCGGTAATCGTTAAGTCCATATATATAGCACTGTGAACGAATAATTAAAAATAAATTTACAAATATAGCGCAACAGGAACTGCAATCGACCTTTATGTAGTGCATATTTGTACCTGTAACCGCTATAACTCCTACGCACTGATTCCCTGGTGTGGCCAGGAATAACATTAACCAAAATAATCCTACATAATCGAACTACACAGTAGACCAGCTAAGTAGAATATACACGTCATATGCCATATGTCATATGCATATAAGACGTGGCTTTTAACGCCTTAATAAAGAGCAAATTACAAATACTCTTCAATCTGCGATTTCGAGATATTGGACAAACATTGCCAACATAGGTAATTATTAGTAACTGTTTGTTTCTCTTTTTCTGCAACGTTGTTAGGTTATTGCAAAGTGCGAACTACTAAATGACAAAATTGTTTTGTAAATGTAAACAAAAAGGACGTAACATACTCGGTTGCGTTTGTATTTAGAGTGATTGGTAATAATATCATTTAAAGCCAGTGAGAGCTTGATTTTGTTATATTTTCGTGTGACAAAAATAGGACTTCTTCTCCTCGGTACAATTTAAGTGGTAATTTTTTTCGATCGCCTCTTCTCGTGATAGTCAAAGCCCGCACAATTCTGCCAAAGGCATATAACTTGCTCGTAGGCGGTAAAGGATTGGCAATATCCGCCACCAACGCTAGTACAGCTTAAATAGATTAATCTACTTATTATTAAATCGCCCAAAGGATTATTGTTTTATTCATTGTGTGTAACAGCAGTTGTCTGACTAAAATATACTTTGTTATTGATTTTGGCAGAGAACAGGAACTCATTAATTTTTAATGCCATATTTCTATCTTTATAGAAAAGAAACCATTGCTTTAACCTATGTTTAACGGATTGCTCAGGAATCACGACATGACTATATTAAAGTATGAAAAGCATTTTTAAGCATCTAGGTACATTTAGGCCATCTGTCACCCTAGCAGAAGCAGGCCGGGGTGGCGGCGAGCGCGTTGCGAAGCGCGCTCGCTTCCAGGGAGCACAGGGAACATGGGGTTCCCACACGGGGCGGGGGTCGTCTACTCGTCTGTAGATGACCCGAGGTATGTCGGGGCACCAGGGCCTTCCTTTCTAGGGTATACCTGGTTCCCCGGCTATTAGTACCCGGCGAAGGCGTGCGGTTTTAGTCGGTTCGAGTCCGACATGCCACCGACAGGTGGTTATCCGAGGGGATTTCCGCACGGAAAAAAAAAAAAAAAAAAAAAAAAAGGTACATTTATCTACTAATTTTTGATTGATGCTTAAAAAATAACACCAACTAAACTGTGCTAAACTCGTTGTATGCAAAGTTTGGCTATCAGAAGCTTAACATGACGTGACGTAAAAATATAAAGATGTAAATTACTTTTTTAGACAACTCAATTTTTTCACAAGTTATTTTTATGCTCTCTTTTAGGGTGCCTTAAGAATAACAGAAGATGGATGCGGTGGAGTACGTGTTGTTGGAGCATCGATGCGAGCAGTCCGCGGAGCGAGAGAAGCCCTTGGAGCATTACGAGCCGGTGCCTTAGCCAGAACAACCGCAGCCACTAACATGAACTCGTCCTCTTCACGATCACACGCTGTCTTTACTCTTCTACTAAGACAAAGAAGGCTGGCGCCAGACCAAGAAGTAGTGGATAAGGAAGCGGAAACAGATACACCTGAACAATATGAAACGTTGACGGCGAAGTTCCACTTTGTCGATCTAGCTGGGTCGGAGAGGTTAAAACGCACAGGTGAGGTGACACCCTTATATCTCAAAATAAACAATATGATTCTCGTTATTATATTATAATAATAAAAGTGATTATATTTTGAAAACAATTGTATTGTTTGTGTGTTCGATATAAACGGATAAGAGAATATCCGTTATTTGCTGCTTATACATACGTTATTCGAGATTCAGAATTACAACAATTACGTACGTTTGATTTGATAACTATAAAATACATGAAAATGCGTGATACGTGAAAACTATGATTTGCCCTAATTACACAGGCCAACAAAGTTTGTCAAAGTTCAAGTCTTCAGCTTTCAAATGACGTTGAGTTTGCTCAAATATCTATTTTTTTCGCTGAGATAGAGATAGTGAACAGGGTTTGCATAGTTTAAAGGCTTGTAGTTCAGTTAAAGGTTTGCTTAGCTTAGGTTTTGAGTCGTAAAAAAAAGATTTTTAATCAAACTCAACTCATTTGAAAGCTGAAGACTTGAACTTTAAGATACCCTGTGTACTTTTTTAGGCATAATAAAATTTGAAGAGTTACATTACCTCAAAAATTGGTAAAAATTGCGTTCTGCAAGTTCGTTTTTTGCAATCACACATGACACGGACAGTATTCTTAATTTTACCCTAACTTAAGGGCGATTTACTATATTCATAGTGTTTGGTATCCTTATATGCATCCGTAATCTATTACTATCTTTTAGGTTGATAGGTTACCTGATGGCTTTCGTGCTTAGTCCAAAACGTTAATCTTAAATTCATTATTTTGCTACTTAGGTGCAACGGGTGAACGCGCAAAGGAAGGCATCTCAATAAACTGTGGCTTACTAGCATTGGGCAACGTTATATCGGCCCTGGGCGATAGGTCCCGCAAAGTGCTTCACGTTCCTTATCGGGATTCAAAACTGACCAGGCTCCTCCAAGACTCTTTAGGAGGAAACAGCAATACCGTCATGATCGCCTGTGTCTCTCCTAGCGATAGAGATTTCATGGAGACTCTGAACACTTTGAAGTATGCCAACAGGGCGAGGAACATCAAGAATAGGTGTATCGTAAACCAGGATCTCACTTCTAGGACAATACATCAATTGAGGCAGGAGGTTGCAAGGTTGCAGTTGGAATTGACTGAATACAAACAGGTGAGGCGAAGAACACATCCAGTTGTATATTTATACCAATTTGGTAGGTACAAAACAAGAAAAGTATATTGCCTCTAACTGTGTCACGCGGTGAGTAGGATTAAAGCAAGGGCAATAACATAAAAAATATTAAAATATAATTAAAATTCTATACGTTCATGTACAGTTGTACCTTTGCAAAAGGGGCAAAAATATTTAACAGACATTTGTTTTTCTTAGTCTATCGTTCGTGTTTTAAAATATATGTATTTTAATTTTGTAAATTGTTGCAGGGTAAACGAATCGTATCAGAGAATGGCGAAGAAGGCTGGAGCGACGTTGTTCAAGAGAACGCTATCCTCACGGCCGAGTGTGAAGCCCTACGTCGAAGAGTAAAAGCCATGCAGGGCACTATAGAACAGTTATCGGCGAGGAATAGTGAACTGTTGGCAGAGAAAGCGTTAGGAAACTTCGCGCCGAAAGACGGAAGTCCTGATGCGAATGACTGTTCGCTCACGTCATTAGTACAGGTATTATATGTTAATATATACACAGACATTTACGTCTATATCTATATGAAAAGGATGAGCACGAGACAATTTCAATGTTACTTACTTAAAGCAAGACATGTCTAATGCCGTCAAACGGGCACTTTTAGAATTAGATGAACAATATGTAGTATGTAAGAAGGAAAGGTGTGGTGTAGCGCTGTACGCGACTGTACCTACATTGTAACGTGTAGATATACGTAGGAAAAATATATTTGAACGAATAGAATAGGGTTAGTGCTTACACGTATAGATTAAGGGGGTGTAGACAATAGCTTCATCATGTTCACGTTCGAACCGGTTGATGCCGGAAAGTCTAAAAGCTATAACCGATTCTGATCCAAAAAAACAGCGTGAGGGGTCTATTGAAAAGGTGTCGGAAAAAAAATCTTGTTACACATTTTTCGGTCTCGCTCCGGGCGTGTAACGCGCTATAAGGAACTTCGTTCCAAAAATGTAAGTAACAACAAATGATTGTATAGTGTAACAACTTCAATGAAGAATCAATGAATCATTTTTCAAAAATATTTTGTGATTTGATCCTTTTTTGCGATCAATTAATCATTTTTCAAAAATAATTTGTGATTTGATCCTTTTTTGCGTAGGGTTATGTAAGCGAGATAGAAGATCTGAGAGCTCAATTGATGGAATCGAACGCAATGTACGAAGCGAGCAGACGACGTGAAGCTACTGTAGCGAGAACCCGCCACGACTCCGTGTCCGACCCGACGGCCGTCATTGACGATGCGAAGCGAGAATTATATAAGGTAATATTACACAGCAACTGCTGTTGGAATGTAGTTATACTCACTGGTATAAATGCTGCAGCCACGTAGGTATGATCATGTGAGCAATTCTTCATGTGCTAGGCCTGCCAGAGGTTTATTTATTACAGTTCTGATATTGTATAGGACAGGACACCGAATATTTTTATTTTATTTATTTTATTCCAAACTTTATGCACTTTTGTACATCGGCGGACTTAATGCCCAAGGCATTCTCTTCCAGTCAATCTTTGGGTGGTGTAGAAATCATATAAGGTAGGTGCACAGAGATGTGATATATATCGAATATCGATAATGTACATGTATGTACATTTCATACGAAGTCCCGGATGTCCACATTATATTGCAGTCAAACTTATATTCGCCATTTTCTTTCCTCAACATTTTACATCCAGAATCTGACAATTACTGTCGAATTAGCTACTCACAATTACCAGAAAGACGCGTAACCCGACTAGAAAACATGTGATTGACCTAGATTGCACTTTACCCACATCAATAAATATTGTATTCCTCTTTTCTAATTCGGAAAGCCGGGACGTCATGAACTATGCGATTGATGTAACATGTATTTTTGTTAAAAATGTATGCAGCATTAAATGCACATCATCATCATCATCAACAGGCTCTAATAGTCTACTGCTGGAGATTAGCCTCTCCTTAGAATATAGGTTTTGGCCTATTATACCACGCTGGCCAGACGGGTTGGTATAGGGTTTGTGTCAAGTTTTCCTTCTTTTTCCAGTGCTGGTGTCCTTCGTTGTTTTGCGCCCTTAGTCAGCTCTTACGACACCCACGGGATGAATTGGGGTAGTGACATTCCGTATTCTTAATCCATCACTACACCGACATCATTAAATACACAGATAATAATACTTCGGGACATATCTGAATTTAGAAACATCCATTTTTCGATATTAGATAATAATTTATAAGCAAACTCAAACTAAATATATCTTTATTTCATAAACAGTTTGTTTTAGTATTTCAAAACAGTTTGAAATCGTCTCTTATGTAGATTAAAGTCATAGATCAACACACACAATAGCAACAATCTCTGTTTTGTCAATTATTTAGGAAAATATATATATATACGTATCGAAAATCTATTATATGCCTGTGCCGATCTACAACCACCTGTTTCCAAGAGGTGGAGCCTTACGAGAAGAAAGGGCAAACAATCTCACGGTAACTAAAATAAGTTCATAAAAAGAAATGAAAAGGATACTAAAATTGTCTGTCCTGACTTATCCCTATGTAGATGTATCACAAAGCGAAAACCGCCGCGACCTAGAAGCGTGTGTTGTGTGTCCTATTCATTTGTGGCGACTCGACACATAAACATACTACAGCGCCATCTAATGAAGACACACCGAACTACGGAGTAATTACTAAATAACTACTAAAATAAGAATTGCTAATCCTGTATCGCGATATAAAGAATTCCCTCGCCGATTAGCATATATACAACTTCCCAACATCAACCGTTGGGCCTCGGCCCGCCAGGCATGATCACCTCGCCTGGTCGGAGGATCCTCCCTTTGTGTTGGAGGGACATGACACCCGTTCCTCCACAGTGGTGACCCCGACGTGATTGGAAGCAGCCTTCAAGGAGCAGATCATCAGCACTATCGTGTACACTCCCACAGTGATAAGCAGTAATCAAGTCTCAGCCAGCCAGCAACCTCGGCCTCTACAGGGATACCACACGCAGGTAGCGACCGCTCCAGCCTGGTTACCTCTACGGCCTCATCAGCGTCTAGGCACAGCACACTGCACCTACGGTCCACGTAAGAAGAGCATTCTCTCCCGTCTACGCAGCAGCCAGCCACTACGCAGCAACCGCCCCGACTCACTGGGGACTTCACCGCAGCACCGCCCACCGCACGCCGTTCCGACTCACTGGGATCAGCGGACTTCAGCACCGACTCACTGGGGCTAGCGGCACTCAGTTCCGACCCACTGGAACTAGCGGCACTCAGTTCCGACTCACTGGAACTACTCACTACTGGCACTGGCACGCTCCACAACAGGGCATAGACAGCTGACTCATCATATATCGACCTCCGGTCTTGGAGGGGAGTGATGTGGCGACTCGACACATAAACATACTACAGCGCCATCTAATGAAGACACACCGAACTACGGAGTAATTACTAAATAACTACTAAAATAAGAATTGCTAATCCTGTATCGCGATATAAAGAATTCCCTCGCCGATTAGCATATATACAACTTCCCAACATCAACCGTTGGGCCGCGGTCCGCCAGGCATGATCACCTCGCCTGGTCGGAGGATCCTCCCTTTGTGTTGGAGGGACATGACACCCGTTCCTCCACACATTCAAATATGTAATATTATACTCATTGCGGCGACCGTGGCTACCTAGTAAAGAACGCTGGACTCGAGTCGCCACACGTGACTGACTGAACTACGTAATTGTACTTGCTGTACTGTTATAACCGGAGACTTTTCTCATTATAATAAGTAAACTAACACTAACCTGCCGTCACAAACCTTGTTAAAATATCTTCGGCCAATTTCAAATTTCAAACCTTCAAGAAAAGAGCGTACTCCTTCCTCAAAGGCTGGCAACGCGCTAGTGACTCCCGAGTTGCGGGCGTTCATGGACGGCGGTGGTCGGTGACCCATCTGCTCGTTTGCCCCCTATTCCATAAAAAGAATTCAAGTGTGGTGGTTACTTTGGTTGCCTGCTAACTTTCCTTGGCAATGTAATTCGTTTTAAGGCGGACATAGGTAGACGATAAATTTGTTAAGAGTGACGATGGCTAGGATAATGGACCTTTTTCTTTGTTTTTTTTTACGTGTCGAAACTCCCTTGGACAGTCACCCCACCGAGGTTTGCGGCGTGATGGTGTGTTGGAAACAGACCGACTAAAACCACACGGTGCGCCACTCTGCGCCTGTAATAGGAAGGATCCGGGAACTGCTGTTATTGAGACATTTGAGACCCCTCCTAGAGGATGACGATAATGTCAGTTTTAGTTTGCGAATGGTGTAGAGAACTGTAATAGCTACAAAAGTATCCGTTAGGAGCTTAGTGGAACTGTTTTAATACTGATAAACTCCTGCTCCATCTATACCTAAACTACATTTTCCAGGAAAAAGAATTGCTTGCACGCAGTATGGGTGAACTAGAATTCCAACGCAAACTGAACATGAGTGAAAGTATGACAAGCGCTGTAGACGACCGACCAATAGGAGAGAGAGAGAGGGCTGAAGGAGAGAGTGCCGAAGACTCAGAACCGTCCGAAGGAGAAGGGGTGGGCAGTGACTCGGAAGATGAGGACTCGGAGACTAAAGGTAAGAGTCATATTAAATGTCTGTGACTGATATAATGAAATTCAGATGTAAAGTTAACTTCAAGAAATCTGTTTATTTATGTTAGCTGTGTGAATTGGATTCACTCCTCTTATGTTTGGTTTTAGTATAAGGTGACCCTTGAGATGTATGACATTGTTTACGGCTCTCCAAAAACTTGTCAGATTTACTTTTTTTACATGACTTCTTCATTCGAACTTGATTAATAATAATAACTTCACACATCTCACACGTGGCAGTCTGATCTCAAACTAGGCAAAGCCTACTCTATGGTAACCGAACTGCTTAGAAACATACTTGTAAACGTGAAATATATACAAATTTCACCTTGACTTTGTCCTGGGTAGGCGACTACGACCTGTGGCTAAGCAGTCAGGGACACTAGCTACAATACCAAGAGGCCAGCCAAATGAAGTGAATATTCATTTATGATCATAATTAAAAATAAAAATAATATTTCGGACATCTAACACACAACGCCATCTAGTTTAAAACTAAGCAGAGCTTGTGTTATGAAAGCTAGATTGACCGATAGAATATTTATGTACTTTATTTTTTGTAAATACATACATATTATACATAGGAAACACCCAAACTCCGAAACAAACATTTGCAGATCATAAAAACATTTGGTCCGACTCGGGAATCAAACCCGAGACCTCAATACAGCAGTCGTATACGCTGCCATTGTACCACCGAGGCACCGCAGTCAGTTATCACTTAAATTATTAGATGAAAAGTTAGAAACATAGGACGCGCTCAGCATGAACAACCACTTATCACTGATATCTATACGTTTATCAATATTCTTAGGTTCTTACTGTAAAACATGATCACTTTCCAGGTCAACGTGTTCTCTCAGCGCAACTAGCAACCTTGAGCGAAGACATCGACACCAAATCTCGGTTGATCGAACAGCTGGAGCTATCACAGCGTCGTCTGACCGCTCTCCGCACACACTACGAACAGAGACTGGACACACTACATCATCAGATAAAAGCCACAAATGAGGAAAGGGACAAAGTGCTTGCCTCGCTTAGTGAGTATTTTTTGTCTATAAATGTTAGCATTTCAACTTCAATTGACTAAATTTCCACAATCGGTCTATTAAAATATGAGTTAGTAGGCAGTAACGCGTCGGTGTATTGTTTGGCGTCTTGATTCAATGTATTGTTTTGCGAATTCAAAAATAATAACTTCACACATGGCAGTCTTGATCCCAAACTAGGCAGCGCCTGTGCTATGGTAACCAGACTGCTGATCAATAAACTTAAGTATTTCTAAATACATAAAGAATTATAAATAAATTACACTTAGACACAGAACAAATGATCGCGCTCATCGCACAGTTATTTGTCCTAGGTAAGACTCGAACCCACGACCCCTGCTTTAGCAGTCAGGGTCACTAACCACTATACCTCAGGCTTAGGCTCATGGAAATAAAGTTCAATTCAATACTTTAAACCGAATAATATCGAAGTAAAACTCACGTTGTTTCGATGTTTTCACTTTGATACACGCTTAATACTAATGAGTTATTAGAATATACCCACACTTGACTAAGTCACAACACCAAAGCTGAAAGTTCATTAAAAAAAGTAGCAACAAAAGTAACTGCGTGACGGAGGAACAAAGTTACTAAAGGACGTCTTTATATGCAATATCTTTATAATTTACATAGTATAAAATAAAATGGTAACGTCTGGCCAGCGTGGTATAGTGGGCCAAAACCTCCTTTCTAAGGAGAGGCCTATGTCCAGCAGTGGACTAGTTAAGGCTGTTGATGATGATAATGATGATGAAAATAAAATGGCTTTTTTTCTTGTACGCTTAGATCTTTTAAATTAAGCAACGAATTTTAATGCGGTTTTCACTAATAGACAAAGTGATTCAAGAAGAAGGTTTATAGAGAAAATCAGAGAATTTCAAATATTTGTCGTAAAAAAAGCATTAAAATCGTTTCTTAGTTTAAAAGATCCAAGCTTACCATGTACTAGCAATAAGTTTCGGAAAAAAGTCTGGTTACACATTCTTCGGTCTCACTCGATAGGGACCTCGTTCCAAAAATACTCGTTAATTTTGTAGGTTAGGTACCTACAAAATGACATGTGGCTATAAATTCATCTGCCTCACCGCAATAGGGAGTATATTTTTAAATACTAAAAATTAACTTTACAATAAGAATTTTTAAAGAGTACTTGAATCGGAACAATAATTCATCGATATTTACAGCTACCCAAGCTTCCCCTCCGACGGAGAAACTAAAGCGCGTGAAGGAAGAGTACGAGCGTCGCGTGTCAGCCATGTCGCGTGAACTGAAGCGGTTGCAGGCGGCACAACGTGAACACACACGCCTGCAACGCTCGCAGCAACACACCGCGCAACAGATCAACACGCTGCGCAACGAGCTGCACAACATGAAGAGGGACAAGGTCAGTACGAATATTGGGCCACTATTGCACAATACTGTGCAAAAGTTTTCAACACGCAAGTTTAAATAGCTCGTTGTACAGTGCAATATTTTCCAGACACTACCAGCATAGTCTTATCTGTAATAATTTTAAACTATTGATATTTTATGTTTCTAATGTTAAAGGGGTTAAAATTTTCTGTCTTTGTAGTTACGGATTAAGAATACGGAGTGTCACCACCCATATTCATCCTGTGGGTGTCGTAAGAGCCGACTATATTTGTTAGAAGACATGATGTTAACTATTATATTTATATTCTATTATTTGTTACTTCTCACTATTCACAATCACTATCACTTCTTCATCACTTCTTCTATACTATTATATTTGTATTCTATTATTATTATGTTATATCGATATGTAACATCCGTTCTCCCACTTTTCTGCAATCTGTGGCAATGATTTTGTGAAAAGAGACGGAAGTATGTAACAGGAAACCGGATTAGTGTTGACCGCCATTGACCAATGGGGGAGCGTAGTGCTAGAGTAGACCGTCACATGGTGAAATGTGAAAGTGAAAGATGAAATGTCATATGCTACTAATAAAAGGCTCTCTCGTTTTCTGTAAGTAATCACCTAATTTTACAATACATTTTGATCACAGGTAAAACTAGTACAACGCATGCGAGATGAAGCTAAACGACATGCACAATCCGAAGCGGCAAGAGCAAAAGAGGTATGGAATTAGTTGTCACTACTACTACAAGTTCTAATTGCCTATAATAATATAACGGGTAATAAATATTTGTCTATTTCTTCAAGGTGGCACAACTTCGTAAGGAATCTCGTAAAAATGCCAACTTAATCAGGTCACTAGAAGCCGAAACAAAGATGAAAGAAGCAGTAAGTAAACATTGCAAATTTAAAAATATATTTAAAAATATAAATTGTACCAAATTTTGAACACACACTGGCATCAGACTGGTATAAGAATACTTATCTTATCATAATTCAATTGCATTGATTCAAAATGTATGCATTGAATCAAGATGGTGTACTGAAAACGGAATTAAATTATATATTACTCTGAATTGAAAAAAGAAATGGTTATAAATGGTAGTATAATGAGTAAACAGATCATTTTACTGAAAAATCAAATAGTATTTAAACATTTCATACAATTAACTATCTCGTATGGCTTTGTGCGTTTGTTCAGCATAATTTGCTCGCCCGGCAAAACATCTGTTTGTATTTATTATACGTAATACAGTTATACCTACTATACTTTACACCCTATATATATGTTTCCAAACGATCGTTATTTCGAATTCAAAAACAATAGTATAATAGTTTTAAGAATGAATTAATGAGATGTTATTGTGCAGGTTTTGCGACGTAAACAGGAGGAGGTATCATTGTTGAGGCGAGGGTATCGCGACAAACTCAGCAGTAAAGCGGCGGGCAGAGTGCAAGGTTAACACAGTTTATTAGTTTTTTTTAATTAATTCCTTCTTAACCTTCGCAAAATACAGTGACGGTGGTGTAACTACTAATGTTTGATTATGATGTCCACGCCCACCATAGTTATTTAGCTTCATTGGAACGGTTTCTTAAGAATACTATCCTTCATTCGCGTTAAGAAAATAAACCCTGCTCGTAAACCGCTTAGGTTCCAAGAATTTATCGTTTCGTACGAAATTTTGAAAACTGATGTCAGTATTTTCTTAAAGCGAATGGAGTACAGATGAGAGCGATTTATTATTGATTACAAATGCTAATTATATTCATTGATAACTATAAGGAATGCTTATTTGATATTATAGTGAAAATTATTTGCTATGAGTACACGTGATGATGACCGATCGCGAACTAACTATAATTTCACACGCGGTAAGGAAAATGCTGTTATAATGAAATTATATATTGTATGGTATATAAGACCGTACATTATAGTAAGGCTCCGTCCGCACAGCAATATTTTACCGCGTGTTTTTTTTTATTCGTAAAATTCTGTGACACATGGGATCTATATAGGACTATCCGTACCGGCGGAAAAGAAATCGAAATGAACGCGATAAGCTGGCGATTGATTGCCATAGAAATATCGGTGTGCGGACGGGCCCTAAGGTGCGGTTTACGTGCGCAGAGCGTGCGCGAGCCCGCAAGCTGGGCGCGTACCGCGAGGCGTGGGCGCGCCTGCAGTGCTGGGTGTCGCGGGCCGTGGCGGCGCGCAGCACGGCGGCGGAGCTGGAGGCGGCGCTCGAGCACCTGCTGCGCCAGCGCGAGCGCGCGCGCCTGCCCGACGCCGAGCCCGACGCGCACCACCTGCGCGCCTACCTGCGCGACGCCATCGCCGACACGCAGGCGCAGATCATGCAGATCGAGGTCATACACACTACTACTTACGCATTTTTTTAACCTTGCTACATTATAATTACAAACATTTTCTTCTAATGAAATCTAATCAAATCTTTTTTTTTTTAAAGAGATTGACGTTAACTTTAGTAAAGCCATGCAGCCGCAGGCAAACGCTAGTCCACCAATATATCATTATGAATAAAAAACCTTATTTCCTGAGCAATCATAATTTATTATTATTTTAAGGACGAAAATTGTAAAACAAAATCTTAATTTTTACCCAATTTTATGGATAAAAAAATATTTATTCAATACAATAGAAAACTACTGAAATAGGCTTTCATTCAATGATAATAAAAAAGTTAAATTTCCTTCAAAACATAATCATTTCATTATGTTAACATAAAATAAAATGAAGATTTTCCTATTCAGGAGGAAAATGACGAAAATGAATTACCCCGTCTACTAGACAACATCGAAGCTGCTAGTGCAGGTCGGTACGCGTTGGAACGGCTCGCCGCCCTAACGCTACAACACGCTCAAGATGCTGCGAGACATCTCAAAATGTTGGAAGACACGCGCACACAACTCAAAGAGGTTAGTTACAGCACAATATTTCTTATATTACAAATAATGATATAATCTTACTACGCTGAGTAACTAAACATACCTTTTTAATATGTTACATGTTTCCTTTCGATTTCGTGAAGAAAGAAACGGAAATGTGTAACAATAAGCTTTCTCTGCGCTCATTGATCAAGTGATATACGATTACTGTATTTTTGTTCATTAATTATACTCACGCATTTTGTTTTCAACGTTCATTATTTATGTCGATATTTAAATCAATAAACAATAACCTCATAAAATGAGAAGAAATCGGAAAGAGACGGCGGGGGGGGAGGGCACTTGGCCGCCGACGTGTTGCACCGCTGCGAGGTCAGTAGTGCATCTCGCTCTAATACGTTAGGTGATTTATCTGCTTTGTTCTTACGTACTGTTGTGAAAATTTCATGAGCGTACATAAGTGAATCGTCTACTAGGGTATTTTGTATTAAATTATTTTAAATAAAACTTAATGTACATGTTGTACAAAGGCGGATTAAATGCGACGGGGCATTCTCTCGCAGTCAACCTTCAGGTGATGTAGAAATATATACGGTAAAGTATCTGATCGGGTAAGCCATGCCAACCTATTCGTTTCCCGCAGCTGGAAGAGAGCAGCGCGCGCACGGCGAGCGCTCTGCGCGCGGCGGGTGACCACAACCTGAACGCGTGGGGCGCCACCACCGCCGCGCTGTGGGCGCACGTGTCCTCCGGCACCTCCACGCGCTCCGTGTCGCCCGTCGACCCCGACCTGCACCACAAGTACGACCACCGCATTCCCTCTGCACCAGCACATACTCACCCCTAGCTCCCTAATCGGACTGGTGGCAGCAAAAGCCAACTGCCCTTTCTGCCAGAGTTCTGTATTCTTGATTACCTAGTAATGTTATCAAGTTACATTCGAATCACGTTTGGACTTAGTATCCATTATGTACACGTGATGTTTCGTCTAGATATCTTCGGTTAGTTTTTGAGGAAAAACCAAGGCACGAAATCCGATGTATAAAATTAAATATTACTATCTTAATTGTTATCCACCACCTCATTTAGCTCAGACTACGAGCTCGGTACGCCCTTGATCATTCACATCAAATATTATACGACAAATAGTAAAATTGAACTTGTATACACGATTTGTTCACAGTGCTGTCAACAATACAGTAGAATCACGACCACCGAATGGTATTCGGGAGTCGAACACGGCCCCAGCCTCGCCGCCAGATGACAACGTCAATAATTCGCCCTTCCAAAGAAACATGTGAGTTGAAGCGAACGATTAATTTTCAGTTACAACTCTTTTAAAATATATTGTTTTTAATGACAGTTCAAACCAAGATTAAATAAACCTTTACTGCTATACTGTAACTTTTTATTCTCTTGAAAATTCAAATCTCTATTATTACAATAAATAACTATATAAGTATTTAGTACACAATTTCACTAACCCTAAATTACGCAAAAAGAAAACGATTTCAATAATATTAAATATGGATTATGAAAATTATTAATGCATCAATATTATTTTAATATCCTGTAAAGTATTATGGCCATCGAGTTGTTTTTCATCGTTTTAATGTCTTCTTTTTACATAGAAGACATAAAAACTCTTTGTAACTCCTGAGTTGCAGACGTTCATGGACGGCGATGGTCACTTGCCATCAGGTGACCCGTCTGCTCGTCTGCCCCCTCTAACATAAAAAAAATAGAACCCTTCGACTCCACATAAATATGTATTTAATTTTATTTTGTTTAGTAACCCAAGGCTGTTCCTAATTTATAAAGTTTTATTGATAGCGTTCGTAGGGGTTCAGTACGTCTCCGTGACCTGGGCGTGTACAGTCGCGAAGAGAACAACGACCCCATGACCCAGTCCATGATAGAGCCCACGTCTCCCCACCCCGTGCCTCTCAGCCGCGTGCCGAGCGCGCCCGGCAGTCTCAGGTAACATATAAAAATTCTGACCAACTTTAAACAAAAATTATTTATTTTTGTGTTTCTGCTACAACCTTTAAAACATACCGCCCTACGTATTATTCCCAGATCTATGTATAATTCTCTGACATAGGCAATACTCAACTCAAAATGACTCTGATGTCCTCTGATGTTGGCTCTTTAAACTTTGGTGAGCCTATTTCTTCCTAACATGCATAATTGCATACATCTGTTCCCACAGAGGGCTCCAGCCAGTGTCGGTGACGAGCGGAGTGCTGGCGTCCCCGGTGGCAGTCCGACGCCCGCCCCCGCCCCCGGAGAGCCCACGGCCGCCGCGACGACACCACAACCTTTCGAAACCTGCCTCCTTGTACGTATACACATGTTTTACATAACTATTTTGAAGATGAATTTCGATAGTGTTGTGGAGGTATTTAAGGTTGCTCTCTAAGACCAGGCTAGATGATCAAGCCTGGCGGCTGTGGCATTTTGCAATTTAGTTTGTATTACGTAGCGTATTAGTTCAGGAGATTCTATGGTTCTTTTTAAAGACTGAGAACCGAACAGAGTGTGAAACTTACATTCTTGGTAGAGTAACAAAATAAGAAAGTGCCTGTATAGAACTTTGTTTTCGCTTTAATGTTGCAAAAAGTTTATAAAAATAAATGTACGTGAATAAATAGTGAGACGATGACTAAAGAAACCAAACTTTGAGGTAATATGCCTCTGAAAACTTCACTGTAGACAAAATTAATAATTTCTATAAGTAATTTTCATAATATATTTTTTCTTCTTATCTTTTATTTTTACTTTATAGCACTATGATCACATTTTAAATTCTTAACACAATATACTGAGTTCTTTAGACACTTAACTATGAACTGTAGATATCGTTAAAATAATCATGATTAGGTAACTACGATTTTGTTTTCTTCATTTATAATTACCTGGTACAAGAAAGAGACAAATAATCCACAACACTAGCAGATTGTTCCAACAACAGGAGTCTAAATAATGTTAAATATCTTTATCTCGTGTAGATTATATAGTGACGCTTGTGTAGTTAGTATCTGTCTCTATCACTCTGGGTTATTGTTCAATATCGCTGTCCCTTTCTGCATGGTACACTGCTTGGGTATATGTGCTACAGTGTAGAGGTGTGAGGTAGTTTTAGACTTTAGTTCTGGCTCTTCTGTTTTCTATGTGTTTATAGATTTAAGTACAGTTTCAATATATCGTGCAAATGTATGTGCTGATAAATACCACGTATTTATTTTTGACATTCTTTGATTGAACAAGATATATAAAAAAGGGTTCGATTCCTACTCAGTTATAATGTTTAAATATGGTTATGCGTGTTCTAGAGGCCACAGTAGAATGTTAACTCCTAATAATGAAATCAATTTCGTGTAATAGTTCTAATTAAGTCACGAGCACAAACAGTTGTACGGTGTTGGTATCCGGGCGAGGTGGGTTAGCGGGCTGACGAATATATTGTTCCAGCCTGCTGACTGAGCTCTCCATAGTCGAGGACTGACGTCACCACAAGATGGACGCACCACAAACAGTTACTGTGTCTAACACCACGACGTCGCTGCATGCTTTTATTTATTGCTTTTTACGTCTTGTATATATTATAGTTATTATTTAAACGTACACTTACTACGGACACTCACGTTTTTTGCGTGCAAAATGCGTACTCATATTTTAATAATTTTTGTTATTAAATAATTATTTTATTTTTAAAAGCAATCTTATCAAACACTTATCTAATTATTTTAGATACGAAAGTACGGGTATCGAACCAAATTATATCCAAAGATACTTGATACCGCATACAATTATTGTTGAAATAATTGCGTATTTCATTGTGATATTTTATAGCCTAATATATAATAATAATAATGCACGCATTTTGTAAAAAGTGTTTAGAAAATTAATATTACTAATCAAAATATCATGGCTTTTGTCTAGTGTAAATGTTCGAAGATTCGGCAGCCTGGTTCTTCTTGCGACAGCAAAATTGTTGCTACAAATAAAAAAAAACTGTTTATTTTCCAAGTAAAATGGCCACCATTTTGTCCATTATCAATTGACAAGTGATACAAAACATACGAAATTCATGCCTAAAATCATTTTGAATTAAGAACGTCCAGAATCTTCGTCCACATACACCAGGCCTCTCGCCATTTTGTTGTATTATAAATATCGAAATATTACATATAAGTAAATGTCACAATTGTAACTTAAGCTTTAACTTGAAAACTGTACTAAGTATATGTATATTTGTAGGTACAATAAATAGATGCAATACAGTTTGTGTTTTGTTATAATACCAGCATGACGCACCCACGCTACTTTTCTAAAGCAGCTCTTTGGAAATATCCGTTAACTCAGCTAAATACTATCTTATATATAAAATTCTCGTGTCACAATGTTCGTTCCCGTACTCCTCCGAAACGGCTTGACCGATTCTCATGAAATTTTGTGTGCACATCGGGTAGGTCTGAGAATCGGCCAACATCTTTTTTTCATACCCCTAAATGGTAAGAAAAAAATTAGGGATGGGTGACCCATCCCTAATTTTTTTTGTTTTGCAATACAACGTTTGCCGGGTCAGCTAGGATCCGTTTATGATATAATCCTCCATTTCGTGCACGGAGTTTTGAAAAGCTACTTTTATTTGTTGGACGATATTACCAAAGAGTTGTGTTGTATAGTGCATGAACGCTATATAAATTATTTGTATAGTTTCCAAATAGAAAATACAATCTACTGTCCCCATTTTTTATACCTGTATATAAATAAACAAGCTGTGCTTTTTCTCTGTTTTTCAAATATATTTTTTCCTTAATACCTTCGACGGAGTTTTATTATAGCATATAGCTCTATAGCCTTATCAATACTGAAAAAAAAAATGACTTTTACGTTTCTACATGTAAACATTATGTACAAAACGTTATGGAGTTATATGATACTGTATTAATAGCTAAGACTGTTACTTAGAAACTTCGAAAGCTAAAATCGTTAGTTTTTGGTTCATGTATTTTAAAAAGTACCCAAGCAAAACAAGTCGTATTCTTGCAACCTCTACCGCACTGAATGATAAGCTATACAGAAAGCTATCATTGTAGTTTATTAGTGCATGTGAATATTTAAAGGATACTGAGTCTCCTTAAAATAACCTATAGTTTTAAGCCAATCTACAAACTTCAAATTCTCTAAACTACCTAGGGTATCACTCAAACACACATTTCTGCAAAATCCGTTGAGCTGTTTGAGTATTAGTGATATACTATATAAAAAATAAACAAATCTATGTTATTTACTTTGGATGTGAGTGCAGTATTTATTAAAAATAATCTAAGTGTTAAGGGTACAGATATGCAAAGGTAGATTAATTGCCCTATTTTTATATTTTTATAAAATGTTAATTTATGAGCTAATAAAACGCGCAAAAAGACAAAAGTATTGATTATACAAAAAATCAAAGGAAAATAATTAAATCAAGACAGAGTTAGTAGTTCTTCAATGCATACAGAATTATTAGAAACTGTAAGTACATTATTTTAATTTTCAGTCAATTTTTATTAATTTATCATGATCATAGAATGAGCTACCATTACGCCTCTCATTAAACTCTTAACTGTGATATGTCTAATAAATTCGTTGTGTTCGTCCTATTACTAATTAAACAATTTATTATAGGAATATCTTAACTTCGCTACCAGCATATCGTTTCATGATTTTCAAAATTTCACCAAATTAAAAAAAAAATGTACCTACATACTGATTTATTCTAAGCCTTATCACTTACCAGATTTCCACCCTGCTAAATCCTTGAGCGTGTACCTCCCCACTTGTGGACATAGGCCTCTCTCTAAAAAGGAGGTTTAAATGAACATAAACGTATATTATTAGTAAAATGTTATAACCGGCTTAACGACACGTGACATCCCAATTACAACCAGTGCATATCAGCTCACGCATATTGTCTGTTTCGTATCTGTTAATGTTACATTATTTATATATAAACTGAGCCATTTAATTCATGTATTATAAACCTTTAAACAAAAGACGAGTAATAAATTAAATGTAAATTGATTGATGAAATCTAAAATGTGTTTGCGGAGCCTTTAACAGCTTTTTAACGAACACGCAAACCGACAAACACGAGGCACTATCACCTTTCTAACATAGAACGACACACATAGTTATATTGAACACGTTTATGTATATGCTAACGGGGAAGTTTATTGCCTACAACTTTCGTTAGAGGTGCCATTGTCTTATGTAAACAAAAGCAGAGCAAAGCGATTGATCCCTTAATAAGTATACAAGGTACTCAAACAAGTTTGAAGTTTCTGAGAGTTCGATTCATTCAATAATTATTGTAAAAGTTACTTTTATATATCGTTTCAAGTAGCCACATTATCCGACAACATTAGGCAATCACTCAGCCAAATATGGAAAGAACTTTCTCTTTAAATAATAAATGTCTTTTGTTAAGTGCCGTGTCATGAATGAACATAACGTTAGTATAACATTACCTAGTAGTTGCTGAGAAATACGTGAAACATTTTAAATTTTGAAATACATTGAACTCTTGAAACGTGTAGAAGTCCATAAATATTTTGATATCTCTGCGTTGTTTGCAAATGTTGTGTGGCGCCAACTACGTTAGACTGCTTGTATTGCTATTAAAAATGCATGTTATGTTATCAAGTATTGAGTGAAACTATGTGTGTTGGTCTACCATTATCGTGTGATATAAGCATAGTGATGGCCTGATTGGCGTGCTAACAAAACTACTAACGCAGGGAGACGTCCGCGGCATCGCATACACCGCCAGCGTCTCCTGGCGCCACGCGCCGAGCACGGGATGACGACGTGTTCCTGCGACTCGCCGGGGCGGGAAACGACAGCACGCCTCAAGGGACCGTCAAAGAGATTGCACTCAAGGTACTTATACTTATACTAGAAAAAGTATTGATAAACCTAGTCATCTAAACACAATAAAGAGACCTCTGTTTTACGTAAACTGTTATATTTACTATAATTTATGTTATGTTATGAATATAATATAATTTATTTTTTAAACTATAGAGTTCCATAACATATAATTATGTGTACTGCAATCAATGCGCCCAGGCACGATAGCTATTAAGTACATACCTTTGAATTTGAATTTCTACATTGAAGTAGGTACCTACCTACGTAGGTTATTTTGCTATTTTTTTCTTTCTTATATCTATTCCTAAATTGAACTTGTAATATTTAAAACAAACAGCGTGTAAGCGGCAGTGGGGGCAATAACACGGGCGTGTGGCTGCAGTGCACGCACGTGGCCGAGGGACATGCGGGGGCGGCGCTCGCACTCGCAGCAACCAATGACATGTTGTACAGTGGTGGAGTCGGTAAGTCGAATATTGTGTTATTATTCTTTTTGGCAATAAAACTTCTATTAATAGTTTATCGCAGCTACACACTTAACTAACATTAAGGATAATTTGCGTAAGTTTTCATGTAAATGTTTAAAAAGTTTGTGAACAGAATGAATATTAATATGTTCAGAAATAATTTTAAGAAGGTTTTTAGTAAACAGTAGTCACATACTTGTCTTTTACAACACATTGGTTGTCACATCTTTATCTTACTATTTGGCTCTAAGTCATGTGAACGTTCCTAGACCGCACAGTCCGTGGCTGGGACTTCACAGCGGGCACGGAGGCGTGGCGCGGATGGTGCGGGGGCGGGGTCGGCGCTCTAGCGGCCGGTGACAATGATGGTCGCGATGTCAGACTTGTGTTAGCTGCGGCCGGCGCCGCCGTCAGACTCTTTGACACCAGGTCTAGAACGCCCGTTACAACACTATGGTACGTTTACTCATGGACTGTCAAGATCTACATCTACTTTTCAATTAATCAAGTGATTCCAAATATAAAAGCTAGAATTAAATATAAATGAAATGTTGTACTAAATCCTTGCAGGTCATCTGGTGCAACGGGACCCTGCCCAACAACCCGCGGTATCGGCGGTGAGGTGGCCGTTACGGCGTTAGCGCTTGCGGAATCACATCGACTGTATACCGCTGCTGGGGACAAGCTCCGGTTGTGGGATCTACGCATGTATGACACTTTATTCATTTCAAAATTTTGTACTATAATATGTAGCATGTACGTCTGGTATTTTGATAGAATAACCATTCCGATATTCTAATATGAAAACAAAGACGAAAAAATACATAAGTCTTATTCCTAAATATTTCTACTACTTTTCAAGGATGGAGTGTGTGTGCAAGTTATGGACGGGCCACGCTGCCGCCGTTATGTGTCTGGCATTGGGCCGAGCACCGCAAGGAGATCTCGTCGCTACTGGCTCGAAAGACCACTATGTTCGAACCCTAGATATGCAGCCTCAAGATACAGGTGCGAAATTAACCTACTGAAGTCGATGCCACTTTAACGACTCTGTCATTAGTTGGAACGTTGACACGTGCCTCGTGTTTTAGGTGGCTGGGAAGCGAGTAACCGTTGGTTGCTAGAACCGCCGCACTATGACGGTGTCCAAGCACTGGCACTCGGCGATGATGATACAGTACTGTACAGTGCCTCCAGGGATACCAGTTTGAAAAAATGGAGCCTCACCGATCACACTCTCACACACGTAAGTTATCCAGTCGAAAGTTGTGATTATTAATCGTCGGTATTAACTTAAACAATGAAGGTATACACATGCTATAAAATAGTGTAGAAAAAATTCTAAATACAACACGTTTCGTTAAGACGCGTCGATGTAGGGATAGGATGAAACGAGATGTAATGCCGGCAACGTAACGTTCGTCAGGGAGTGATGAACGCTCACAAGGGCTGGGTGACGGGCGTGTGCGTGGTGGGCGAGCTGGTGGCGAGCTGCGGGCGCGACGCGGCGCTGCGCGTGTGGAGCGGCGCGCTGCGGCCCGCCGCCGTGCCCGCCGCGCTGCCCGACCTGCCGCACGCCCTGCGCGCGCACCCGCACCCACACCTGCGCGCGCTCTACACCGCCGGCAAGTATGTACCCACCTCACTCAAACTTTTAGCATTCACTTTGACTATGGTCTACGACTTCTTTCGTCGTAATACGTTTACATGTTCCACTACTCGTCGCTGACTACATTTAGCCCGTATTAATAATAATACTACCTTATTCTTAACATATTTTTTTTACCAAAGATTGTTTTTTCCCAAAATATCGACTTGAACGACTTTACTCAACTGAATCTTTACTGGGACAGTATTTCCGTTCAAAAACATTATTTATATTTAATTAAGTCGATGTTATATGTCGTACCGAAATTAACCATAATCCAATTCATATTTGTAATAAGAATAATAAAAATATTAAAAATAAGTATTGTGAATAAAATACTATAAAAAACGAAATTATCACAATGTTTAAAAAAATATTTTTAACATCCTTATAACTACAATGTGGATTACTTTTTAACATGACAATATTTAATAGTAATATACGTTTTTGTGTTGTGATTCAAACACATATTAAGGACACTAAGTTTAGAAAATGTTGTTTTGTTTTTATATAGAATGATCTATTCATTCTATACTTGTTACCTTTTTAACTATTTCCAAGAACAATAAGTACTGTCTGGATTTATAATTAAATTTTATAGACCTCAAAAACTGTACTTTAAATATAAAAACGGAAAAGGGAATAAGAAAATAGAGTATTGTAATGACGTGAGTATGTTGCAGCGGCGGTGAAGTGCGTTCGTGGCGGATCACCGTGGAACAGTGAGCGGCACCCAGCTCCGTGCGCGACCCTCAGGTGCTCTCGCGTGCTGTAGCGCTCTCCCTCTCGCACTCGCTGCGAGCGCGAGCGAGCGAGCGAGCCAGTAGCTTTAGATGTCGCCCGATTACATTATTGACTAACGCCGTATCTATTGTAGGCCATGTAAATATATATATTTCATTTTGCCATAATCATCTGTCTTGCTCATCTAATATGATCATAGTATTCGCTTTGACATAAAAAGAAAATCTTGTTCGTAAATTTCAGGACCTACATATCTTTTACCTCGCCTTTCTCGTAGCTCGTGAAACCGGTTGTGGCTCTATCATGCGGACTTTATTAGACTTAGTAGTAGTGTCTCGTGTTTTAGTTGGATAATTTAGTTGTTTAAGCTATATAGGTATATCGCGGGATATAACGCGTAAATTAAGTTTGTAAATTAGTGGGACAATACCACTCGATATTTCCCTTGCCCATATTATCAAGTTGACATTGAAATGTTGCGAAAAGAAAAGTTGAAATCGCCAGCTTCGTCGGGCAACATAACAGCACATGAAAGTTTTGTATCCGGCGACAAGGACGCGGGCCAAACGGGCTATTAATATGTGAAATATCCAATCACAAACAGTCGTATGAGACTTTCCTTCTCGTTTAAAATAAAATTAAAACCTTAAATACTATAGTAACTAAGTCCAAAGTTAATGTAAGGTATTTACTGCGGGAGAAAATATAGAAGAAGACAAAGGCATTAAACCAGAGAAATAAGTTTGAGCAAAGGATCGATAAAGGGAAAGATTTTAGTTCATATTTTATTTCATCTCATTACTATAAGTAGGTATAGCAGAGAAATAACGACGTCTACGCACTTGAGTGTTCCCACACGTGTGCAGTACAGCGCTCACTTTCGTCTCGCTTGCGCACGCGCCGCCGCCGCTTCACCCCTCTCACTCACACAGACAAAACTACGCTTGCCATTGTTCTTATTACTTTTAACTCGTGTACTCTATTCTTGTTTTTATAATTGTTAAAAGAGCATATACGCGAAAGGTTATTTCAACAAATGAATATAAATGTTAAAGTACCCTTTTGCGGAATAAGTGTTGCCTTGATGTCGCTTACAACCTGATATTTTTACCCTCACACAACAGGGTGTATAAGATAACCGATTTTATCTTCATGTCATAAAAGTTTGAACTGAAATTATTTAATTATCATTAAAGCTTTAATTTATGAATGTGTCTTTGAAGTATATAAGAAACTGTCCATTTCCCTCTATAAATTCTGAATTGAATTATATTGCACTTTATTTGCAAAAATTAAATTCCGTGTGAGATTTACAACACTAACACATTTGCATCAAAACAAAGAGAGCACGTGTTAAGAGATTTCCTGAGAGTGATTTTCTTTCTTCCAACTGTAACTAACTTAGAGCTTTTATCTTCTAACTAACAATTGAACTCGTTGTGTTTTATTGTTCATAAACAAGTAGTCCGATAAATCATTACTAACCAATAGGCTTTAGTTGTTGTTTGTAGATTTTATTTGTACATTAGTTCATTCGCTTTAAAAAAATAGTGACGCATCGATCAAGCATCGTACCCTGACCAATCAGATTCCAAGCGTTCCTATGAAACGACAATTTCTTGAAACCTGATTGGTCTGGGGGCGGGGCTTCATCGATGCGTCCCCGTTGTCTTGACGCGAATGGACCTATAATATTAGAAAACATTTTGGTTTTAAATTTGGAATTACTATAACATGTTAATTATAAAGTCGACAACATTGAACCTGAATTACAACCTAAATCTCCAAAGGAAGAGAAGAGATGGAATATGAATAATAGAAAAATTTGGTATTCTCATTTTAATTGAAACCGTTTGACTAGAAAAGGTCATAACTAAAATAATTGTTTCGTAACTTAAATATCAGTAAAAAGCACGAGCAAAAATGGCCTGTACCTAACAATATGTCATATTAAGTTTTTAACGAATATGCATTTTGTCATTAGTAAAAAAAAGGTTTTTTTTTAATTTATATTGTTGATGTAATGCACGCCTGTAATTTTTTTTTCAATCAAAATTAACAAATTGTCTATTACTGTGTTTTACAATTTTTTAAAAAAGATTTACTCAGCTACTTGAAAAAACAATAACGTGTACTAACGCTATTTTTTTAATTCACCAGCGACGGGCGTATACGGTGTTTCCGACTGCGCAAAACAAGATGACCCACGGGGCCGTGCTCCGCTCCGAGCACGCCGCCCTCGCGCCGCCCCCGCACCCCCGCGACCCCCACGACCCCCGCCACGCCCACGCGCCGCGCCTGGCGGTGACTGCGGCAACATCTATCTGCCGCGGCATTGACGGTGTTTGACTCGTACAAATTATTCTTCTTCGAGCATCACTTCGAATTATCAGCATTATTCTTTTATAGCCATAGATTTTAAGGACTTATTTACGCATGCTTATGCATGAAGCTTGATCACATAACAGCTCCTATTACTAATAAAGCATCTGTCTGACTCATGTAGGTAGTCTCCGCCTCGCCTCTCATGTCAAAAATGCATATGTATGATACTTTCAGTCAAGCATTTAAAATTAAAATAGATGATCATGTTTAGTCGTATTTGTTAGAAAAAAAAAACATTTGTCATAATTACATATATTCATTTTGATTCCTAATTGAAAATAAAAATTAGGAGACACAAAGCTGTCAACGATGTGTGCACATAAAAAAAAGTTTATTCCAGTGACCTTAACAAATAAAATTTCCTTTTAGTAACTTTTAAACCGTGCAGGTAAATGAATTGTATGAACATTTTTCTGTCTCTATCGAGTAGTTTGTAGTGGTTACAGCTTAGTAATATATCTATCGTCCATTCATAATCGGAATGTCACTAACTTAATATTAAAAAACAATTATAAGTTTAAGGATACCTTAATTAAAAATGTATGATCTCGAAAAAGTTGCAAAATTATTAATGTTATGATCAATTTCAACCTAGTTCTAATACAAAATAACGTCCAATTTTCACAAGCAATATGAATTATAAGTCTAAAATAATTCGAATTTTAAATATTAGAATGTACCTGGACCATTTTAGCGTCAAGAAGAACCTTGCATCAAAGACAATAGACATTCCAATTAGTAGTGCATTTTTATAACTATTACGAGTTTAAGAAAAATATAGGTTTCATAATCGACTTAGGTAGGCCTAACTAAATAAAGAATATGTTAATACACGTTATGAGTAGCTAGAAATAGTAATAACCTAATATCACTTATGCAATTATTATGAATTTGAATGTAGATTTTATTGTAAGAGAAGAGGTAGGTTCACTTTGTGTAGTGGCGCTAGTGTGTCGAGAGTCAATGTTTTTAATATTTGTATACAACTTCAAAAATCACAGAAATTACCTCTAAAATATTACCTCGATTTTTTGAGATATTAATACATTTGCAAATATCTATAAACACACTAGCGTTAGTGTAATATTTAGACAAATTAACCATAGGTAAGGTGGTATAGTATGACAGTAAATCGCTAGATAAAATGGCCTTGGTATTCATAATAAGTTGTTAATTTATTTAAAATGTGTAAGTAGTGAGGTGATTCTTAAAAATATTTTAAACAATTAACATCCTTCTTCACCACAAGTTTAAGGATTTTAAGAATCTCACGCAATATTTAGTAGTAGATACGTGTACCAGCGTAGAAACAGCAGGACTAGAAAGCACTGTAAAGGTATACAATATTATATTTTGTTAAACTTCAAACGAACTTTCTGCCAAAGATAAAAACACGATTATAAGTCTCAATAATAAACAGCTTAGATAAATATGAGAACGTATGACTTTAATCAATATCACTGTAGTCTATGGTTCACAACTTCTCTGTTATTTTCATATGAAGAGTTGTGAAAATATTAAACTAGTTCAATTAATAATACCTATTTACTTTTTAAAACTATCAGTACCTAATTCATACTGCAAAAAAAAAAAACATACGAAGTTGTGGAAAAAAAAATGATTTCTCAGCGTTATACTTAAGTTTAATTTTGGACTAGATCGTCGCACAACACGGTCTATATATTATCTGTTTTCTATTTCCAAATTTAAAGTTTCGCTTCACTACACGAATCGTTCTGTATACTAAAAATGTTCAATAGCTAAGCTTATCCAATTGAATCGTGTAATTGATTTAAATCGTGTACCTGTATTGTGTAGTATGTAGATAATATTCGCAAATGATTTGAAGGTCATTTACAAGCCAATACCTCATGCCAAATTGACACACTACATCCAATCAATCAGCTGGGCTATTTAGTCCCATATACAAACTCAAATTGGACACTATATGTATATAGCTGTATCAAAATGTACTAATTTATATTGGAATGAGTTTTATTAGTATAATTTTGTTAATATTTTACACTAAAACTTAAAGCCAAGAAAACAGCCAGATCTTTGAAATGGGACATGAAAATAATGAAATGTAGTAAAATATTTGTAAGTGTGCTAGCAGATTAAATTAAATTTTAAAACAAGCTATAAATCTGTGCTTTTGTTGAGTATGAATAACCGAACCGCAGCGCACTTCTACTCCACTACTTTAACTTAGAACTGATACATCAATTATGATATGTCTGTGATTAATCGAATAATTAATTATATTTTTGTACATTCCTGTGCTACGGGTAGACATAGTGACGTCACAACCATGTAATCGCATAGATTAGTTGAATAGGTAACGGTCAAATTACGTAGAAGTAAATTTATACGACTATAATGTACTAATGTCCAAATGAACTTAGCTTAAGCACGCTCATGGCTATGAATTATTAAGCAAATAACTGTTTTATTTACACTAATTGAAGGTTTATTTTTTGTTGTCTCTCCCCAATGCGTATTTCAGTATTAACATTTTTAAGGTAGCTGAATTTATGTGTTTTGAGTGATAGTATTTTATAGATAACCGCAAATGAATATAATATATAGTTTTGAATGTAGAATATGGACGCTTGCGAGGCTAAAGCTGCGTTCACAATAAAAGCTGACGTTAGAACATTAGCAAGACCTCGAATGTTTTCGATCCTATTGATGTTCTAATGTCAAGTTTTTGTCAACGGACCCTAAGGTAAATGCTAGGAGCTTTATTAATACAAAGATATATGTATAATTATGTTGTAACTGCATAGTATAACATGTAATGCCTTATAAAAATGTTTAGATATTGCAATATTTATCAACGCGTTTCGACCTCCAAATTATACGAAAGATTTAATCGGTTTTATTTCCACCCGATTTAAAATAAATCACATATCATTTATTTTTTATTTTGACAAATTCTAAAAATATGGACAAAATTAAAAATGAATTGTTAAAGTGTATGTAATAAGTCTGCGACGAAGCCTGGCAGCGCTAGTCATGTAGTGTAGCATTTCTCTTGTGTAATGTTAATTATTTTCATTTTATAAATATAACCAATTTTTATGCGTATTATAAATTTTATTAATCATGAATTATATTAATTTTATACATAATTTTATGTTTTTGCTCATTTTATTATAGGGCTATTTTATATTTTCTAACTATATAATATGAATCATTTTGCATAATATCAATAACTTAGACGAAATGTAGCAATATAGTCCGTGTGGTTGTTTGTCACCTGTATGATATAAGAACCTCTTGACAACTATACCTTAAAGTACGTCATAGTATTACTACTAGTATTTTTAATTATTTAGAGCATTAAGTTATTAAAATATACTCATTATCGCAGATAACATAGAATTTGTTTTAGTAACAAAATGAAAAGCATTGACATTACACATTGTATGTATTAGACAATAGTAATGCATCAGGGAGTTATAATAATTATGTGAGATTAACATTCTAAATTAATATAATTTGTGTTCTCAATTTGTTTGTACTTTAGTATTATTTAGCGGATGATAATAGTATTTTATGTTTCCTATTATAATTTAATTGATACGATTTAAATGTTTATTAAATAAAATTATACAGTACTAAAGTGTAGTTTTTATTCATTTTACACGTGCGTTCTGAAATTAAACCAGCTTGAAAATATGGGCAAGTGGTGTTGATATGAGTGATAATGGACGTCGGTTGAAGGCACGCACTGACTCTAACGAATGAGGAACGAAACAGCGATATACTCTTTCTCATTCACATCTTGAAGGACAATAAATTTGTAAGTCGTTATCTACATTTTAAAACATATAAATTATATAGATTTTGGAACATAAAGTGGTAGAGAATGCCTAAGGCATTAAGTCCGCCAATGCACCAAATATGCATGATGTGTAAATAAATAAATTAATAATGATCGTAATTTTGCGCGGTAGAAGTTTTTCGTATTCCAAATTATACACACATCGCATTATACTCACTCCTGTTAGTTTCTAGTGACGAGTAGATTCAATAGTATTAGACGGTTAGATTCACTGCACGGATGGCGTAGTGATTTAAGCCTTCGCCACGCCGCTTACTACTACGTTGAATGTGTTCGATCCCCACATGGTGACACCCACCACTCAAACTTTTTGAGTTTTAGTGTTCTTTGTGTCCGTTTCATGTGTTTGTATAGTCTCCCGCCACACAGGATATATTCCTAATGCGGGAGTTGTGTTCTATTAAAAAAACAATAAGAAAGAAACGAGTTCTGTTCCAGAGGAGTATCGAGTTGGCAAAAGCAAAGTCAACAGAGTTTTGCGTGAGGAAATGTTCTCATTAACACGTGTGCGTTACCCCAGCAAAATAATGTCGAAAATGGTCATTTAAACTTTATAGATAATTAGTTGCTCCCCTTCTGTAATTGTTAAGCACATTTTTAAATTTGTTTCACTTAAACTTTTTTAGTTATTTCAAAAAAACATTTCCTGCTGGGGTAACGTTTGAAACGTTACCGCAGCCAGACATTTTCTTTTTTAATTGTAATATTGAAATAAATTTTAGCTAAATAATTAGTTATCTGGACTAGGTAAATGTTACAACTTATTTGGTATTTGTATTTTCTTCGGGTGTGAAGTTATTCGAAATCCTGCTGGAGTAACGTTTGTGGGTTTGCTGGATCTCTGAAACGGGTAAGCGGATTGTAACCATCTTTTGTACATAACTTCTTAAGGATTAGTTTAAATTTGTTCGACAATAAAATAACAAAAATAATGGACCGTTTAAAAATTATTTAGGTAAGTATGAAAACACTTCAATACGTCCTAACACTTTAAATAAGACCTCTAAAGACTTACTTGAAACGTTATTCTATTGCTTGTAACTACCTTCAAATGTATACGAATTTTCGTAAGAATACTGTAAGTGACTAAAAAGTTATGATGAAATGTAGCTCTCCACGTTCACGATCACAATGTGTGCGGTCTTTTTTGGCCACCGATAAACCTGTGTGTGGATATATAAACTGAATGTTATGCCAATAATTAGTTGTTTAGTTCAGTTGTCTACCTGTAAAATTTCAGCGTAGTACATATAATTATTTACGAGATAATTAAATAAAAGTCATTAGAAGGTGCAAGACCGTGGTAACCCGACCATGTTTAGGTGGTTACAAAAAAGCGATCACCCAGTACATTGTGCTGGCTTTTAAAATATGTAGGATATTATTTGCAAGTTTACTACGGATATGTACATAAGTGTTACAAAAAACTACATGTTTTTTAAATATTTTTTATTTAGGATTGTTTATTGCATAATTAGTAATCAGCCGGGAGATTAGGTATTGTTTTTAATTGATTTTGTTTTCTCGTAATGTTTAGGTGAATTGTTTATAGTTGTTCATAGAATTGGTACCTGCGTAGTATTTGTAAATTGAAGTTTAATTTTAGGGTAGGTATAGGTAATTTAAGAAATATGAAATGAAATGAAATGATAAGTTTTGAAGAGTGTAACGTATGCGTTGTAAATAGGTATTTTGTGAATAGGTGGGGATTTTTTTAAGTGATGAATCGACTTAGGCTAGCATATCGCGAACAAACTCTGTATTGCATTATTTCTGTAATAATGTTTGAGAAAATAAAATATTTGATCACAAAATCGCGGTGAGTTAAATTATAATAAAATAAATTATTTATGTAAAATTGGTAATAAATGATATACCTACCTAAAAGTTATGATCGTTTTTAATTTGTTCACCCTGAACGAAATTTCAATATTAGCATTAGTAATTAATATCCTAAGACAAGAATTGACAATTACTTAAATTGAATCGAATTAGCATTAATGCCTATTATTAGTAATTAGGTACACACATATTGAAGAACTCTCAAGAATACGATAAATATTTGCAAAAATAGAAAGCGAAAGCTCACGCGTACTTTACAACACGTATATTATCTGCCTAAGGGTCAAGTTTAGTGCACTAGATGCAAATTGCAAACAATGAAGTATCCCTTCGCCCCTCCCCTCCCGCGTTCTAGCGAAGGATGTATTATCAGCGATTCTTGATTGACAAATATTATCTGACCAATAATTTTATCTATAAAAATGTATCACTTTCACTCGATAAATTAAATTACCGTTATTATATCAAAATATCATTCAACAACTCTTCGATTTTAACAGAAATCAACAGTCACAGGTAGGTACATAGGTATAGATAATTCTCGGTTCTCGGTATAGACCACAGAACAAAATTACCTACTCTTACGAGGTATAAGACTGTTGGGCGATGCAATGTTGATGCATTCTAATTTACAACTGTATTCTTCTACTATTCGGTCTATTTTAACTAATTGTAGATGACTTGTTGATTTAAATATTTTGATGCATTCAAGTCTAAGCTCTATACACCCCAAAATAAAATACAATTACTTTAGTGTTATTTCTTTACAAAAAAAAATCAAAGAAATGAAACGATTTCTTATTGGTTTAAGTCTTCGTTTTATTGCAGTCAGGTGAATCGTTCATACATGTATCTACATATTTATAATTTTAGCGGACCAGTGCAGATTTTCTGTTGATTGTAGCTCCGGTAGTAAAAAAGACTAAATAAATTTTAAGTAAAGAAACTAGTGCTTAAGATCAATTAGGGAAAAAAACAAAATAAATAATAGGTAATAATAATGAATAAATATTGAAAGTATTTAACACTGTACGCAACTGTACCGAAATCGTAAGGTGTATAACACTAAACATTTTAAAAGACAGCGCAATGTACTGGGTGATCGCTTTTTTGTAACCACCTAAACATGGTCGGATTACCACGGACTTGCACCTTCTAATGACTTTTATTTAATTATCTCGTAAATTATTATATGTACGACGCTGAAATTCTACAGGTAGACAACTGAACTAAACAACTAATTATTGGCATAACATTCAGTTTATATATCCACACACAGGTTTATCGGTGGCCAAAAAAGGCCGCACACATTGTGATCGTGAACGTGGAGAGCTACATTTCATCATAACTTTTTAGTCACTTACAGTATTCTTACGAAAATTCGTATACATTTGAAGGTAGTTACAAGCAATAGAATAACGTTTCAAGTAAGTCTTTAGAGGTCTTATTTAAAGTGTTAGGACGTATTGAAGTGTTTTCATACTTACCTAAATAATTTTTAAACGGTCCATTATTTTTGTTATTTTATTGTCGAACAAATTTAAACTAATCCTTAAGAAGTTATGTACAAAAGATGGTTACAATCCGCTTACCCGTTTCAGAGATCCAGCAAACCCACAAACGTTACTCCAGCAGGATCTCGAATAACTTCGCAGCCGAAGAAAATACAAATACCAAATAAGTTGTAACATTTACCTAGTCCAGATAACTAATTATTTAGCTAAAATTTATTTCAATATTACAAATAAAAAAGAAAATGTCTGGCTGCGGTAACGTTTCAAACGTTACCCCAGCAGGAAATGTTTTTTTGAAATAACTAAAAAAGTTTAAGTGAAACAAATTTAAAAATGTGCCTAACAATTACAGAAGGGGAGCAACTAATTATCTATAACGTTTAAATGACCATTTTCGACATTATTTTGCTGGGGTAACGCACACCATTAACACAGCAAGAAGCCAATGCTGCTATGCTATGTACAAGCTTCCAGTTGTATTAAATATAGATGGCATACAAAATACCGAAAGCTTTCTGCCATCTCAGTAACGTTATTCTTTTATATATAATTGTTATTACAGGCCACAATGCAAAAATCGTGTTACGGTATTCAAGGGTTTTTAACTAAGCAAAAAAACGGATCCAAGTTTTATGGCTAGAACAATTTAAATAAAACTACAAATTCTATATTTATTTACTTAAATATATATTCATCAGTCGACTTGTTTAGTACTTATATTTAGCATGTTTGCTGTGTTTACGATGGTGATGTGAAGGCGGCGTGGCCGGTGATCGACGCCTCCGATCTCTATCTCTTTCTCTGTCGCGTTCTCTTTCTCTATCTCGTTCTCTCTCGCGGGAGCGGTCACGTTCTCTGTCACGGTCACGTGATCGAGACCGCGATCTTGACTTTCGATCACTGCGCATAAGAGTCATATATGTATTAAATTTTCACTTTGTGATACAAATGTTTACATGAGACATGAGTGCTTATTTCTAAGTTAAAGAGCACACTGTAGCATGTAGCTTCACTAAAGATGAGAGATCCTATACAAAATCCTTATTACTCCAAAAAATAAGCGAGCATTACAAGTACTCGCATAATTATGATGTGTAACAACGTCTGACAGCTCACCTACCATCTGACGGCCAAATGTAGCGCCGCACGCGTCTCCTCGGCTTTCTGTCCCCTTTTCACGAAATCACATCACAGATGGCGGGAAAGCGAGAGGAAAGATGTTACACATCAATAATACAATACAATGTTTTATGAAGAAATGACGAGTAGTAGAGTATGAAATATGGACTATCGTCCATTCACGTTAAGAAAATAGTGACTCATCCAGTGTAATGGTGTATTCAGGGTGAAGTAAAAATGTAAACAGTTGACATTTGTACAACTATATATATTTTTTTAGATTTAAGTTTATCTACCTGAACATAAGTGTTCTTTTAGTAAAACAAAAACATAATAACATCTGCTGAACCGGCTGTGGATGTAAACAAAGGATAAGAAAGCTTACGGTTCATTTGTCTAATGTATCCAATTTACCAACCGTTGATAATCGAACTCTTTTTTTCATATGTGACTTTAAAATGTCAGTTATCTTTTGTTCCTTGACAATCTTATTAACAAAATTTTCGGACACGCCGCAGCACGTGCTGTTTTATTACTGCAATCTCCAGTCACAATAAAATCATACAGTTACCCTCAATTACTTAAAGTCATTGTAAATTACTCTTTTTCATGACTACGAATTATTATTGTTCCACTTTTATTCCTACAAAAAGTTTAAGTTAACATTATATACACAACACACAACTTTTGAATTTTTTGGAACGTGATTGGTCAGGGGGCGGGGCTTGGTAGTGGAATCACTATTTTCTTAACTCGAATGCACTATAGTAATCATGCGGTTAAATGTTTTCAAATACCAAATGAAGTGCTATGGCCTTGTATGAAGGCCTAATAAATTATGTAGTGTCTCTACGTGGAGACAAAAATATCATTGCTTTTTACAAACTACGAAAATGTACAAATAATTGAAGTGTAAGCAGAAGCCGCCTATATTTTGCCTTAAGTTTATTAAATGAATACTGAATATTAAACAGTACCCATTACCTGAATAGAGAATATTGCGCTCATAAATGCATACAATAACTTACCTGTACCGCGACCTCTTTAGAGGTGGTGACAGCGAACGTTCTCTTGACTTTTTAGATTTCTTAGACGAGGTCCTACAAGAAAAGCCATTGAAAGTTAGAAATCTTTAGACTATTAAAATACCTTTTTTTTAATAAAGTCAAACACTTCGACATGTAGAATCTTTTGTGTCGGTTGTAAAAATTGAATGGTCAGTACATACGTGGAGTACGTGTCCTCTTCAGGCGGGGTTCTTTTCCTTACGTCGGGAGAGTCCCGAATTTCCTCATTCGCTTCTTTCGCTTCCCGTAACGCCTAGGATCATATCACGGTAAGTAAATTTTATTCAATATATAAATATATTATTAAATATATAAAATTAATTTATAAAGTAACTTCATTTATTAAAGGCATTATATAAATATAATAATAATAATAATAATAAAATTTAATAACACCAAAGTAAGTACAAATTTTCTAATACAACATAATGTTCTTAGGTGCACAGTGTTTTTTTTCGTTTCTTCCCTTTATCTTTTTTACCTTGTACATACATAGTATTTCACCTTATTGTTACACTTAGAAAAAAAAAGAAACAGAATACACACAAAATCATTGATCAATGACCCCATGCTAGGAACATCCTGTGTTATGGGAGTCATCCATCCGTCTGTAATGTGTTCAGGTGTGCTATAAATGTGATAGCTGTTTATATATATTTATTTTTAATGATACATACAAGAGAAGGAAGTAAGAAAAGAAAATAAAAATAAAAAGACAATATATATACATGTAGGAATGTGTGTGTTAGGGTGGGTAAGTTCGTTAGGTTGGTTCGTTGGTTGGTTGGTGTGGTAGGTAGTGCAAGTGTGTGCATTATTGTCAACCTATAATAACGTTAGGGAATAACATTTACCTTGCATAATATTTGATTGTGGGTAAATATTGATTGGAATAAGTGTAAGTGTAGATATATTTGTGGGTTGGTGAATAGAGCATAGGTTTAGAAATCAAATGACTGTTCATTTAATCAGATCTTCTGTTTCATCATAATTTAGGGTTTGGAGGTACTGTTTGATTCGGTCTTTGCAGTGGTGTGTGTTTAAAGTGTGTATGTTAAGTTTAGTGTTTAGCTTGTTATATATAAGCGTACTTAGGTATGGGTAATGTCTACGTGCAAATGTTGTACGTGTGTGAAATTTAGGAAATGCCGGCATTGGCCTCCTTCTTCTATTGGGGCTATTAATATTAATATTTGGGGGAAAGTTACGTGCTTGCGCAGGGCGGTGCGGTGAATAAAAAGCTGTCTGACCGTGAGAACTTCATAGTCCCTATACAACTGCTGGGTAGAGTAACGAAAGGGCTTGTTAAGGAGTACTTTTATTACAGCTCGTTGAGCTCTTTAATATGAAACAATTATTTTAAATATTTTAAGTGTTCTAGGTTACTTTTGATAGAAATGATTCAGTTAGTTTTTCTAGATATAAGGTATATCACACGAACAAGTGAGTTACCTTCTTGATAAGTTTCCGTCGGTAGTGCTGTATCTGCTGCGCGTGCGCAAGGCCGGCGCGTCGCGCGCGCAGCCCCGCCTCCAGCTCGTCCGCGTACTTCAGCACGCGCACCTCTATCTCGCGCAGCGTCTCGCGCTTCAGCGACTGCTCCTCGCTGCCAATGTTATATCGTCACTTTACCGTTTTATATATTTAGATGTCACATAACATTTGACATTCATTTTTATAATAATTTAAAAAATCTAGAGTCTAGTCTTTCTAGATTTCAACTTTCCTGCTTCATTTATTTTGAATTCAATTCTTCAATTTATTAACCCAAAAAAGTGTTGTCGCGTAAACTATGAAAAACTTGCATCAACATGTTGATTTCGTGTTATTATGACCTATTAGTATTGCTATTAAACTGCTCTGTCGTGTCGTGCAGCATGTAAAAGGTACATTTATTTATTCCTTCAAGTATTATAATATTTTGTGATTTTGAAGGCGATTTTCTTGTATTTATTAGGTTACCTGGCATGATATTGATATATTTTATCAAAATGGCAAAAAAGATTTTTTTTGGTAACATAGAGCTGTGGTATGATTAAATATTTCTATGTCCTAAGTGTAAGTGTAGTTTAGCTGAATTAATAAGTGGGCGGTAAAGGATCGTAATGATATGAATACCTGTCGGTGTGGTGCGGCGTGGTGGGCGCGGAGGGGGGCGCGAGGGGGGGCGCGCGCGGCTCGGGGCGCGGCTCGTCGGGCCGCTCGTCGGGCAGCTGGTCGGGCCGCTCGTCGCCCAGCGCGTCGGGCTCCACGCTCTCCCAGCGCGACGGCACGAACGTGCCCGCCGCGCGCAGCGCCCCGCCCGCCTCCGCCTCCAGTGGCACGCCGTCGATGTCCTCGTCAACTACGAGTGCATGCACATACTTGTTAATGTTCAACTCCGACACCCGTGTATCGCGGATAGGGATTTTATCATTAACTGGTTTTCAGGGGCTCTTCAAAATTTGTTTTCAAACATGCTATTTTTTTAGAGAAGTTTAAAGAGTATTAAAAGCTAAAATCACACAGCTAGAGTCACACAAGCTAAGAAAATGAAGGGCGAAAAATCGCGATTCTTTCGAGATAAAAGCGTGTTTTCTCGTCGTGTTGTTTTTCTGTTTTTTCTTCAATAAACCACCATTTTTTTTCAATAACTTGCCACGAATAGATTTTTTACATTGTTTAACTAATATTTTTACCCGAATTATCGCATTGAAAAATCAGCTAGTTTCTTTTTCTAAATATAAAGTTATTTCACGCCGCACAGCCTGTACTAGATCAGTTAACATTGAATACAAAAAAGTGTGTAATATTCTTTTATTTAATAAAATTATCCCACATATCTTTTATAAATTGAACATGATTTTGAGTAAAAGAAAGATTCGTAAAAATAATTTAATTTGGAAATTTTCATAAGTTCTTCTTTTCATAAATTCTTTCTATGTGAAAAGAAGTAATAATTGGAAGTTATAAAACGACGTTATCGGGGCTTATCGGTGTAGGGTAGCCATCGGTGCGTGGCGGTGTACGTACCGGGCACGCCGTCGATGTCGTCGCAGGGCGGGCTGCGCGGCGCGAGCGCGGTGTGCTGCGCGGCCAGGCGGCGCAGCGCGGCCCCGTCCAGCGCGCCGCCCGACCACGAGCCCTCCGAGCCCGACGAGCGCGCCGGCGACGCGCCCGCCGACCCGCCGCCCGCCGCCGCCGCCAGCTCCGAGCCCGCCAGCCCCCCGCCGTCGCTCTCCTGACCGAAACACCTCCGATTATACTTTTTATAGGCACTAATAAATGTGAGTAGACGACGTCATCAAAATCAGTCGTGGAATTAGATCTATTACAAAAATCCACATATCCTTTAGAAAAAAAAGGCCAAAAGCTTCAAGAACCATGTAATGCGAAAGATCAAACCGACTGTTGACGTGGCGACGCATCGCTACAGAATGCGTCGCCACATTATGTGATGATATATGTAACATGTAACGCGGTGCGTTGACGCGTCGCTATGATGTCTTTTTTATGAAAAAAACTGAATATTAAAAAAAAAACTCAATTGTGCTATATTTTTTTTTTTCTCTCATAAGCTGTCTTCTTATAATCGTCATTTTTACAAAATAATTTTGATGCTTTACATTTTTTAGATTTAATTGCATTTAAGTGAAGGTAAATGGGAAAATATAATATAAAATATTTAGAAAATTTGCTTTTTTAATTTTAGGTTTAACTCGACCTTTTATGTCAATTATTCTTACCTTATCTTGCCCTAGAAATACATCGTTGATGTGCATCAAAAAATCAGTGGGGTATACGGCCCAGTCGGCCCACGCTTGCAAGGTACGAATGACGCGCGCTCTGAACCCTTCGGCCTGCAGCCGTGAAGTCATACGGGATAGCGCCAAATGACACTGACGCATTATTTCAATAAGGCGTTGTTGGAATCTAAAAAATCATGTAACGTACATTTTAATTGGGACATTCTTAAGTATTTTTAACGCCTTTATAAAAGAAATTAAAATAATAATAACAACATTTATTTCAATCCCACAAAAATATTTTACTAATGTTTTAAATATTAACATAATGGCATCTGAAGTCTTCTGATACCCTGTACCCTGGACTCCTGAAGGTCAATTCTCGTAATAAATGTTTAAAGCAGATTACCTATACAATTTTCGGTTACAATACGATATAATCACAGTACAGTCAACGTCGGATGTTTAATACTTTACTAAGAAAAAACCTTTATGACAGTTGTGAGCTCGAATGTTGATCGGAACTGAATTGAGACCGAATTTTTTTTTACGAGAATTGGCCTTCTGGCCCACTCCTTTCAGATTAAGCCATCATTTCAAAAATTTAGAGAGGGCTCGTCAGTCGGTAATTATCGGTAGAACGGTGGACTCACGCGCTCCTATAGGCGCTGGCGTTGGTGAGCTTGGCGCCCGCGTTGTGCAGTATGTCGGACACGAGGTAGAGGCGCGCCACGCGCTTGGCGGGCGCGGTGGAGTCCCCGGCCAGCGCCTCGGCGATGCACTGCGCCACCTCGGCCGCCGCCTCCGCGTGCTCCAGGCACCACGCCATGGCCGCGCCCACCGACACGCGACACGGCGTCAGCCCGCGGATCAGCTCCTCCAGCCGGTCGCGCTGGCTGCGCTCACACACAACAACGCTTACGTTTTATACAACTCCGTGCACAGCGGGAACAAAATGAAAAGGTCGACTTTGTAAACTTTCCATAAAACTCTTTGTCGTTATATAGTACACCATATTTAACAAGCAAAGCGTGACAACGGATCTGACCATCTTAACATTATTAACATGTGGTTTGTCGGTGATGGGTGTGATTGGAAGTATATGAGTGTGACTGTGTCTCGCTGTAGTGATGAATGAGGTTGCTAAAATTGTTTATAAAATAAGTGATATTTACTACTATACGTGTTTTTAACAAGAAATGGCTACACTTTTGTATTAGGTACAAAACCTGTAAAAATAGTTGTATTGTGTCATATATAAATAAATAAATAAAAAAAATAAAAACATTTACTAACTTGTTTGATAATGTCCCTCTTATATTTTCTTTGGCATCCTCTTCCTCCACTAGTTCATCGGGCATTCCTGCTGTGTACAAGTTCATAACGGGCGGCCGCCACACTGAACCACCTACACAAATGCAAAAGATTTATATAAATATGCCGTAGTGCGTGAATACACCCACATATAAAATAAGTATTCCACTCCAAGTTGTTAGCTAATTTTTTGACCAGGTTCCACTTGGTCTTAGTCACAAACTGACTCACAATGTGACCATGGCTACCATAGAATGCATAAGTTTATAATAAAATGAAATGAGTGCTCCTCAGTAGAGGAGAGGTCTATTGAGTGAGTGAACAGAAACTGAACAGACATCATTCTAAGGAACACTCAGTAAAAGAATCACAGGTAATTGGGACTAATCCCACCCACACGCCCACCACTGTAACTCCTGTACACCAGGATCCACAGCAGTGACCCACGAACACACCGAGTTATGACACTTGGGAAGTCCCAGGAAGAAATTAAACTGTCTTGGAACCCGCAACGAAATTAGAAGAAGAAAATTGGAGGAGTTGGAAATACAGTAAATCCACTTCCCTCCTTAGCAAAGCGGGAGACAAAATGAAGTAAAATAGGGCATACACCCTTTTAAACAGGGAAGCACCACGGCCACAAATATTACGGGTCCTACGTGAGCTATGTATGAGAATCACAGGTAAGTCTAAAAGTTGATATAAAGCTTGAAAAGCAATCCCTACTAAGCGATGAACGCATGCAAAATGAGTTTTATATACTTTTCGAATTCCCAGATTTCACTGCGTTAGTAAGGATTTATTTTCAAGCATCAATATTAATATATTTTCCAAATACCCTTAAACATCCGAAAATCTTCCAGCGACCATTGCTTGGGCGAGTCCCCCTGCAGCATGGAGAATAACTTCCACCTGTAGTAGATGTGGGCCGCCGACTGGTTCTCAAACAGGAACCGGAAGAACGGGTTGTTGATCTCCTTGTTCATTATGATGGCCTCGAACATCGGACCCTCGCGGATCACGAACTCCACCATGCGATGGATGAGCATTAAAATGTTTCTGTAATAATTACATGTATTTATTGTAATATTTAATAAAGAGATCTGTCACGATGTGGTCTACTTTGAAGATGTTCAATTAAATTCAATAAATTACTTTATACTAGGTTTTGTCTGCGGCTTCTCTCGCCTTAATGTAAATTTTGTTTCGGGTACTTTTCTTTGCTTCCGGATGAAAGTCATCATCAAGGTTACAGAGTAGCAGATAGATAGATAGCAGATCCTCGTGCAAATGTAGCAAAACATGATATCCATACTAATGTTATAAATGCTCTTCTAAACCCCTGAACCGATTGAGGTGAAATTTGGTATAGAGACAGTTTGAGTCCCGGAAAAGGACATAGGATAGTTTTTATTTCAGAAATCATCTTGTAAGGGAGTGAAAAGGAGCGTGGCAATTTTTATGGGGAATCAATAACCGCTGAACCGATTAAGATGGAATTTTGTAACGAGATAGTTTGATTCTTGAGAAAGGACATAGGCTACTTTATACCGCGATAACCGATATACACGCCCCTGGAGCCGCGGGCAAAACCTAATAATAATATAAACGTCAAAGTAAATATGTTTACTTTGGTGTTTATATTTAACTATTGTTCCATTCCAAAATAAAAGGCTAGGATAGCAAAATATGGCACATACCTTTCTGTTGGTACCACAACTTTTACTATTGACTGTGATAGAATCTGTAATGAAAGTAGTAAGTGGTTTGAATTGAAGGGTCATTGTGGTCATAAGCTGTTTGTATTTTAAAATTATATATAAGAATTTTTACTACCAAAAAGTTTTGCGTACTAAAATAGACAATATGTTGCTACCAATATATTGTTTATAATAAAACAAATGTTATAAGCACCTGTTCGTAGGTATTTTTATCTTCAGGGTCGCTAGGGTAGTAATCTCCGAGCCGGACGCGTGGTATCTATAAAAAAAGAAATTATTGCCATCTCACTTCAACTAAATGTGCCTAGACTTAGTACAGGAACAAAAATCACACTATTTTAGGCACAAACATTTATCCACTTTCACATTTATAATGGTAAGTAACTCTAATGTTGTTACCACCTTGGTAACTATTTGTACAAAAAAGTTAAAATCTTGAAGGTGTACCTAATGACTAAATTTCAATGTAAAAAGGCGGTTAGCAAGTGGGTAATTTAAATTATGACGACACTAAAAAGATAATCTGCACTTTAAAATAAGTACTGTCACACACACACACACACACACACACACACACACACGCACGCATGCACTAATATCTAATAGTTCTTACCCTTTTAATTACTACATTTTTTTGTGTCACATTCCTCAAAATCTAGATGTGTAAGTACACATCTAGATTTCTGTATCGCTAAGGAGAGAGCCCGGAGATTTGTCACAGAGGTTTCGAACCTACTACAAACTCTAGCTCTCACTAAGGTGTCATGTATGTTATATTTAATACAGTACTGTAACTGTACCTACTAACCTTTTTGATACATTGCGTTAATGATTGCCTTTACTGATACTACCGACGACTACAGCTTTAAATAAAATACCTTATGAACGAGGTGTTTTGGCGGCTGCGCGTTGAAGGGCAGGCCGGAGGCAGGCGGCGGCTTGCTAGGCGTCTGCAGCGCAGGCGGGATATAGATAGGAACGGGCGGGATCACCACCGCCTTGCCCCAGCCCAGCTTCATCTCGTAGTTCATTATCTCTTTGCCTGGAGTAAACAAATTACATTAGGACCTACCTTAGGTCAGTCAAAAACCTATGGACCAATATAAAGCGATACTTTTCGTCTCAGAAGCGCTTAACTCTTAGGACGTCGCGGCGCGCGGATGACCTATGACCCGTTACTGTCGCGCCCTTGAACTAGTGACCCAGTCACAGCTGAGCGAAGTCATTATTACCTCAATATCTACGTTATTTTATAATTATATTCAATGAAATAAACATATTTGGAATCCCTGATATATATTCTTCTAAATGTTGTGACAGAGACGCTACCGCGTAAAAATTTGGTGTCACAACTGTTGTGACGGCGACGCGTCGGAGGTAAAAGCGCAGTTTTGTTAGAAATACTTTTTCAAAAAATATATTTTTTTCCCGAATTTGCTTTGAAGTCCATCTCATATGCTTACCCTTCCATTCTATTAATAGCCATATTTTCTTTCACACAGTCCATCTATTTTAACTTTGTCCGTTCTCTCTTCCAACAAAACTTTCATCACCCCCCCTAACATTAGATGCCTTTATAGTATCTGCTCCTCAACTTTACATCCACCAATACTACTCTCACCTACCTTAGGGTCTTTTCGTCGTATTATCTTTACACACAGATCCCTCGCAACATTTCACATAATATCAATTTAATAAAAAAAGAGTTAAATGAAATATCCATTACCGTTTATACATCTGAGTGCTCTCTCGCCATCCTTCCTCGACATGAATGCCACAAAACCACAATTCCGTCCGCGCGCCTTCTCCTCGTCTGAACGCGGCCACATGATCTTGATGCTTGCCAGAGGACCATACCGACCAAATATCTCCATCAACTGCTGTTCTGTTATCTATGAAAATATTTCTCTCAAACTAAATACATTTATTACATTTTAAAAAAGCATTTATTTAAAGGTGATAAATTGCTTATGCTTATGCTTATTTAGAAAAATTGTGATGCAAGCCTTTACTATGAAAAGGATTACAAAATGTTTTCCAGATTCTAATGGTAAACTTTCTTTGTCTTATTCTAATGCATGATTTTATTAATTGCCTACTACTATATAACTGCAGGTTATGATGTGTTGACTTGTGTGAGTTTGAGGGTATCATAGTGAAGAAATACTTATATAGCAAAATGCATTTACTTAAGATTCCTAATTTATTTACGATTGCAATGATATTTGATTTTTATTTCAAATCAAAGCTCTTAGCTCTCTATTCAAGAAGAGATATAATCTTTTCTTGAATAGAGAGCTAAGAGTTTCAACTTTTTTTGTAGGATTATCTAAATAAGACCGAATTTAATATATTATTATTCAAAATATGTGTGGATTATGATCCTGGATTCTTGATAGCCTTACCTTAGGATTCAAATTGCCAAGATACAAATTTGTAGTATTAGGATCCCCTGTGTCATAAGATCCAACATCAGGTATGGCATCTAATGCAAGCTCCACACCTGGAACTCCGCGTTCTCGTAATACATTCTTGTATTTGTGCCGCTCAGACCTTTCCTCTTGAATTCTAGTAGTAAAGATTTAGTTTTTGAGCAACACATCAATGTTTAAATAGGACTTAATTACTTTTAGACGTTAAAATTACAACAATTCACATCTATTAAGCTGTACCCTGCCATGCTTCACTGTGTAACAAAACTGGAGCGAAAAATATGTAAAAACTATCTTTGAAAGGGGTTGCATATCAAGTAAAAATTTTAGCTCAAATGGTGCAGTAGTTTTTGAGTTTTTTGAAGCATACACAAACCAACTTAACAGTTTTATATACATAGATAGATTATGAAGGACAGAGTCAATAGAGTAACATGAAAAGTGTTTCTATTATATTGATGAATAAAGCAATGAATTTATTTGTAATGTAAATTCTCTGCTAATTACCGTGCGTGGCTTTACTTGTGAAGGTTATTTTTCCAACCGTCAAAACAAGTTCTTTTCCTGAGTAAAATGGCAAAATGTGTGTGTGTTGTGCGCCAAATTTCATAAAGGCAGGGTAAAGGAAGGCAGTACATTAAAAACGATAAAAAAGAACTTTAAGACTTGTCTGTTGACTTTTCATATAGTTATTCATATAGATTATTGAGCAACAACAATCTATATGAATCTAGAAGCATTTGAATAATTATTGTGTGACATTAGAATGACATTTAGATACATTCTAATTACTCTTGAATCAACAAATCTAATATTATAAAATTCTTACATAAAAGGCACATGAATATCTTAAATGAAATTCAAAACACAAGCCACTACTTTTTAACTCACTGTCTAAGTTCTTCCTTAAAAAGCTCTAAGTTACTCTTTTTCTTGTCCTGACCCTTTTTGTTTTTTGGGTGAGGTCTGCCTGGTGGCTCAGGTCTTTGGACAAGGTTGCGGACAACTTCCACCTCATTCGAACTTCGCTTCTCATCCAACCGGGAGACCGGTTTGTACAATTTGCCTCGTTCTGAGGTGTCTTCCTCTGTAAAATAAGAAATAAATCAATTGTAAAAGGAATTAACAAAATTCAAAATATTTAAATTTGACCTTTTCTTTTGACAATGGTAGTATGACAAGAATATAAGGGATTGTGGGTTCCATTCTGAACAGTTTCCTTTTGAAGGTTATGAGAGTATAATCAGTAACACTTGGACATTTATGTAAAATTTGCCATCATGTAGAACCACACCATTAACAATGCACCTATCCGTTAGGCTAACAGATATGTATCCAGTGATGTCATTAATTGGGTCTATAAAATTGTTGGTAATAGAAGGGTTTTCAAATCAATCAGGTAGGTGAGGTTTTGATATCTTATTGTGATAGAGAGCAATATTATAAGCATAATGAAAACACTGTACTAAAGAAATTGATATATAAAACATAGATTTATTTTAACGTAAACAAATAAATTAAACTTACTTCTCGCTCCTGCATCGTAAGTACCAGCTTTTACCCAAACTTTGGTTGTGGAACTAGGCACCTCTTGGAAAGTTTCCACAAACTCTTTAAACACCTGAAATGTTAATTACACTCAATCAAGAGGCGATAGTATCTTTCTTAAGTATGGCCTGTTATGTTGTTTTAATTCATTTCTGCCTTCTAACATAAAAAAAAAACACAATTACTTTTAATCTATGATCTATAAGTATCTTTGTAGTAAGAGATAGCTGGTCTGATGAATTTACGGCTCCATCTACACTAGCTGCTCTAGCTCAGACATGAGTTTCTTTCTAGAATATTTTAATTAAATCCTAAATGCAATTGTATCAATAGAACAATATTGGAACTTTTCTTAAACTGTTCTTCATGTAAGTACATCATTATACGATATATCAGTGACTGTATATCGGATACGTATACGTTAAACCCTGTGATAAATATCACACGGTTTAACAACAAATAAAATAAAATATATTGGCGTTTACATTTACACTATAAACAATTTGAATGAAAAATAAACTATTTGACTTAAACTATGATTTAAAAAAAAAATACATGAGCGGCTGCTTCTTCTTCCTCTTTCTTCTTCAACTCCTCTAGCTCCTTTTTAGTGAGTCCTCTGGAACTCATTTTATAGTCTGATTGTCTTGTTATGACTAAAAAATACCACTTTACCAATTGGTGATAACAAAACCTTTTACTATCAACATTTAAACTATCCCATTCTATATTACTGTAAATTAAAATAATAATGATTTTATTAAATTTTACTGAACGGTAGACATATTTTGTCTTGAGTTTTAGCCATAAAACACAACATAACCTAAATGTTGCTAATTTCAATCAAGCTAATACAAGCACAGAACATATACCTATATGAATACAAGTGTTGCCATGTCTAATAGTGTAAACTAGACTGACTCGACTTAAAAATGCTCTCTTGGCAAAAGAAGTTTAATGTTACGTTGAAAATAGTAAATCGTAAAAAAAACTCAAAAAGGGATGTATTCCCATTTCAAAAATATTTATTTAACAATGTCAGCTCAAAATCACAGGAACAAGGGACAAAATATTTTTTTTCCTCTGTCATACATAATAATACTTTAGACTGTTTACACTTGTCTTAAGCTTCTGTAAACACGTAAATAAATAAAACGGTTTTCTTTTTTCCAATAATAAAAGATAAGTCTAGAAAAGCAAACCTTTTTATCGGAGAATACTAATATGTTTGCCCGTTCGTACTAAATAAGCTAATATTTATGTTTATAATATTTATTAAATATATATATAATACAAAATATATTTATTATTTATTTAATATTTATATTTATGTGGATATTTTACTTTATATGAGAAAAAAATATTATTGAGAAAGCTTAGGCAGAAAGAAGTCAGAAAATCAAATGTTTGACTTGAGCGGGAATCGAACCCGCGACCTTTGGAATAGCAGTCCGTTACACAAACCACTACGCCATTCGGTCGTCAAAAAAAAAACTTTAAAATAGTCTTCAGTATTTTTTCTGTTTCTTTGAACAACCGTGAAATATAGCTGCTCTAAGATGAAGAAATTATTTTAGTAGCTTAGTAGTAAAATTTCTAACCTCCCGCGTGTTCTACCATCAAATTCCACTTCACAATAGCCAATCGCAGCTTATCTAAACAAAGACAGAGGAAACTATCAGGCATCCATCTCTCTCGTTGCCCGTATCGCTTCCACTAAGAGGCAGCTGTACCCCGTGTTCTCTCTATGCACAGTTCTGTGTAAACTAAAGTGTCAACAGTTAACTGATTGCATTTGTTTACACAGCCAACTAACGTAATGACCTAAAAGCATTATAGCGTCTGCTGCATCCAGCGTTTTCGTCTTTGAAAGTGTGAAATTTAAATGCCTTTTTATGCCACATAAGGATGAAATAAAAAAAAATGTTCAGTACCTCAAAAGGGAAAAAACGGGAACCTTATAGGATCATTTTCTTGTCCGTCTGCACGTCCGTCTCGGGAACGCGAGGAGGTATGGAGTTGAAATTGAAACCATATACTCAGATCTACAGTCCCTTGCAGTTGTGAAAAAATCAATCTTCTAAGTTAACATAGAAAAACGATAGGGCTTATGCCTCAAAATATGCCCCTTGACCTAGAACTATGAAATTTGTCAAGTAACATCGTCCTATGCTACAAGTACAGAAAAAACCTTAAAACTATAGGTACATTTCTAATTAAATCATAAAAAAATTAGTTTTTATTAAAAGTACGTAATCAATCATCGAGGTACAATTTTACTCATAAAACACAATAATATAAGTAATTATAGGTTTTTTGAGCTGAATTCCGGGTACAGCTCGAAAAAAAACTAGACTCGATTCCTGAACTATTTATAATATGTACCTACAAAGTACAGAATCCTCGGTGCGCGAGTCGGACTCGCACTTGTCCGGCCACTTAAATCATGACAAAACTCACAAGGCTGTGTGTAACAGAGGGCCCAGTGTGAGTTTATTTAGTACTCAGTGGTTTATTTCATTACATCAACTCGCTCTTGACGGCGAACGCATTCGACGTTGCGATTAGTGGAGAGTTCAGTGCGAATATAGATGTAAAACAACCGGTACAAAAACTGTGTTTTCACTTCATTGTGGATAATTTTTGGTCATCTGACTTCATGTTTCGTTTTAATTCGTTTATAGAAAATCAATAGAGAGTACCTACCTACATTACCTACTACACGAAAACTTAAGTATGTAAGAATACCTACCAATACCTATTTATTATATTATATTACACACACTAGATTTGAAGACATCATTAACACAATGCTGACCAATGACTACATTATAATTGATGCCGACCGTTTTACTTGCGCATGAAAGAGACAACGTTGTTGAAAAGGACGTCGCGCCGATGCCGACGGTGTCAACGAGAGTGCGACAGTTTGAGTTTGGTTTTAAATCGAATCAAATTGATTACTTATATCGTTAGAAAACAATAAAAAAAAATGCTTATTTACTCAAACAGAGTGTTTAACTTTGGTAGGTAATACTCCGTCACATCCCTACCTCGGTAAAATCAAGTAAATGTAGTTATAATTAAGAAAAACATAGTCATCAACACCAACTGTTTTAAATCGAAGAAAATTGTTTAAACGGGTTTTTTTCATTTTAAACGGATTGGTTTAATTGGTTTTAAACAGGCCTTACATCTATAAGTGCGGGGCACCATCAAGGTGGCTTCATTCTTAGTTAGAATAAAAATATATCAAACCATAAATCAAAAAGGAATTCTTTCGGATTCTATGAATGTTAATTACGGTGGACATTTCTTCTTTATCATCATCCCATTTATTGTGTTTAACATTTTAGATGAAACATTACGCCATTTAATACTCTCACATAAAATATCTCGATTTTTAACTTACCAGATAACTAAATTGATGTAGGAAGAAAGTAGAAAAGAATTCATTTATAGGCGGCGGTGTCCATACAGAGCGAGCAGCCTCGCGAGGCATTTGCCACATTTTTATACTCAAAATAAATTAATAAACACCCATTTTTCCAACTATAATATAAAGCAATAGGTAACATTCATGCTATCCAAAGTGTATTTTAAGAGAATTGCAGGGTTAATTTGTACTAGTTATACTCTAGAAAGTAATGAACAGTCTGCTGTCTCATAAAAAATATAGGTAAATAAAATACTTTTTGGTTACATATTATTTATTGAAAAAAGTATACATCAAAAATGTTTCGATGTAAAATTAAAAAAAGAATCTTTTGTTAGTGAGTGAATATTCTCAGGATTATGAAGTATGACAGCTAAGATTGAATCCGTCTATTTTAAATCTTACTTCATTGAAATAAAGTCGTTACTATGATGACGTTTTCAACATAGCTGACAAACATCGCCTTGGATATTGAAAGGTACCAGGTTTCATTAAACAGAGACATATTTACAGCCAACTGGTATATGTATAGAAAAAGGTTTAGCTCTTAGGTGTACATTACATTCGTGCAATGGAAATAAAAATAATAGCCTCTGATAAATATAAGTTGATACATTAAAACTGGCTAAATATGTACTTAAGAGTATTGTCTTAGCCAACATAGGCCACGAATATTTATTGGCTGTAAATTCCACTGTATCGTCTTTTTATTTGTTCCTACTATCAATATTACAAATTGTTATTTCAATTTAATACTTACTTTTAAAAATAAAACACTTGATATTAACAAAAAAAAAACATTGAAAATTTATGCATTGATTCACATTTATAAAATTAAATTCTTAAATAAAGCAAGCGTAACACGTGTCTTTGCGGAAGCGCGAAGTAGACGCGGTCCAGCAAGCTCACCATAAATAACAATATCTATGGATAATGATGCGTGAAAGAAAATAATATCACGCAGTATTATATAAACTGTGATATTTAATTGTTCGGCAGTTAATAGCAGATGAAACGCCCTAGAGTTAAAGAATAAAATACTTTTGTGCATCATAAAGCTTATTCTACAATAAAACATGCCACATAATATACACAACTATTGTACTGTACATATTGAAAAGAATGTACATGGTCACAGAATAAATATCATAAGACGTGGTGTGCACTAAGCTCTAGTGAGCCCAGGGTCGAGCCACCGCCAGCACACAGACGGATCAAAGCATAACATACAACGATACTATAACTTATTTTTTATATTATTAATTTAATACCGTGTTTATGTATTGGTGGTATTTCGAGCTGCTTTTCATTACTCGCTAAATCTAACAAAAAAGAATAACCAATAAAATTGCGATTACTTTTTCAGATTGGCAACATTTTGTTAATAACAATAGGTCATACATACTAGTTGATGGTAAAGTGCTTTCAATATAAAAATATTCCAATTGCCATGTGTCGGTTATTTTACTATTTTCTGTGAATGTATGAAAGTGACCCTTTTTAAACTTACGAATAACCCACAAACTGTAACATACATAACCCCTTTGTATTAGCTCAAGTTTTATTCGTTAGCAATTATTCTTTTAAATATGAGACTATTAAATACCAATGAACCAGTTATTTTGCAGTGTACACTCGTTTAATACACAGGTCTTATACGTACATTAGCAAAGGAGTACATGTTTGATACTTAAGTAGGCTTTTATATAATATTAACAAATTCAATGATGATAACAGGTTTGACGATCAACACAATTCGAATTATACACAAGTACAACATAATAATAAACAAATTGCAAATGTATTTAATGAATGATACAGATAGTATATTTTATTTAAATGTTGTTAAATTCTGTTAGAAAGGCCACGTGCGCAGTTAGAGGAGGCGGAGGTCGGCGGCCATGCCTTCACCGCTGTTACTGTCATTGTGATGACTATCGTTGTTAATATTTGTTCACTTGGTCCGAAAAAATAACAAAGAAATCAATAAATATGATTTAATACATAGCGCAAAATCAATTTCGAAGGGCAGTTTGTAACGGTCATCAAAATAATAGAATCTATTTAGTGATATTTTTGTCGCCAATATTAACAAGACATACAGTGTTACCATAGAAAAGTAAAATTAAAGTAAAATTACTATTAAATGCATTTCATCGAACATTGTACTACTTTAAAAATACCAATGGCTTGCAATTACAAAATTTAAAAAAAAAAAAACGAAAAATAAACTTGTACTCGCTTATTTGATCAATAGACAACTATTAAAATAAATTTTCACATACAATATACATCGAATATAATATAATATAAAATTCTTCATTATAATACGCTAGTAGTGAGCGCGCGTTTGTTGGGTGTACGACGCGGTCGATTAGTTCGTACGGAGCGGAGCCGATGCGGTCAGTGCAGGCGGGCTGTGGCGCGTACGTCCGACAGACGCGCGCGCTGTATTGTGAATAGTCAAATCCTCTCAACACATATAGGTACACTGTACAGGGATTGTGAATGTTCATGGACAGATTGCATTTGCATTCGTTTGTTTTTATACGACACCCTATGACATAGATACATTTACGAGTAACGAATAATTACATTTTTTTTGTCAACACCATCGAATCTTAAGAAAACTATTATTTCTTTAGCATTCTAGACCGTAAATTATTTTATCGTCATACAATATCGTACAAATCGATATCGTCGCCAGGCGTTTGATTCAGAGCCGTTCGACTTACGCTGAGAATGTAAGATTGCATTAACGATAGCGATCTCACGCACTTAAAACAGAGATGATAGCGTGGATCTTCATCCAACACTTGGTCCTTCGAACCGATAGGGACCCTTTATGAATAAGAGAAACCGTGAATGCGTGGGCTTTAACTGTCTTTAGAGAATAAACGATCAAAGCTTAACTTATTTTTCCTTCTACCTAAAGGTACAGAATAACAAATCTTGTACTCGTCTGTAGTTAGAGCCCTGTTAGTGTGTAGGTTATGTGTCATTGCAATAAGTCGGTCGGCCCCAGACATGATAGACCGTTACTGTTTAGCTGATCGTCGCTTCTCAGGCGTCTGCGTCGGCCCCCTTCAACCGAAGTCGCGCGAAGTCTTCGAATATGATATCGTCGTCCTGTTCCTGGCCGTTCTCGTCTCTATGGATACAGAAACATAGATAATATTAGCTTTTGGGACTTTCAAAATCTTCAAATTTTCAATCTGTTGTTTTAAAACATTACTGCAGCTTTATTAAAAAAAAATCTGACAATATATTTTGTAGTGGGCATCATTATATATGTCGTGTTTGAGAAAGGTAAAATTTTTGCTTAAATATTTGAGAAAAATACTTCAATGATTTTGTTGTTTTTTTTTAGTCTTTATGGAGACATTTGAAAAAAGAAAATTGGATGTTCCATAAAATGCCTTGTGTTAAATACCCATAATAGAGTATTTAACATTTTTAACGTTAATTGATATTATCTTTATTAATATCAATTAACTCCCTACGAAAATTAGACAAAGATTAGATTAGACAATTATACCTTTATTAGATAATTTGTCACTTTCAAAGTAAAATTTGTGTAAACATCACAATTTATTCTAAAATTGTGAGCATTTTACATTATTTAGTATTTTACAGAGTTCTACTATAGATCGTTCTAGACTACTATACACAATTTTGTAACATTTTGTATAAGGTCGTAATCGTGTCTATGAAGACATTGGTTGTAAGAGGGCTTTACTGTACGAGTGCTTTTATTTGTCTGTGGTCAGAGGCGGTGATGTCGAATATATTTGTCTGGTAATGAATTGTATAACATCGTATATCATGTGTAGGATGGTGCGTGTGTACGTACGGATGGGGGTCGAGCTGTATGAGGTCGTGGTCTGAGGCACGTGGCGCCGAATCGGGAGCGGCGCGTGGCTCCTCTTCAGGCTTGGGGTGCATCAGAATAAACGGGAGTTCGGCGCTCAGGTCACTGCCAACAATTTGTCAGATTTAAAAACAGGTTTTCCTTTTCCTCCGAGCCTTTTTCCCAAAGTAGGTTGGGGTCGAATTTACACCTACTACGATGCTGCTGAACGGCGAATTTTTATCAGAGCGACGAAGTTCTGTAGAAAGACTGTTGTGGGACTTTTTAGGGCACTAACTACCCGTAACGATTGCCACAGATGTTCGTATGACAACCGGGACCGACGGCTTAACGTAATCTCTGAGGCATGGAGGGGTTTCATTATGTTAAGAAATGGTCACCCATCTATAAACTGACCTGGCTACGATTGCTTAACTGTGCAATGTGTTAACCTCCTCAGTTACCACGTAGCCACGAGCCCCTTAGTTTCAAAACACATTGCCATATATATCTGAAGTTTCCAATTAGACTTGGTTATCTTGCTATCTATATTGGTGGCAGTTATCTTGTATTAGTTTAATGGATATAAACTACAATTATTATTTGTTGGTGACTCACCCCCCAAGTGGTCCGAGACACAGCTTCACCTTAACCTTGTATTGCACTATGATACCTAGGTTCTCTCGCTGTGACGGGTCCGCAATTCTGAAATGCAAATTACATTTAAAATATATTAATCTGAAATATGGGTTTAACAAATCATTCAACGAATGTCACGATTGGCACTGATGTGAGAAAAACTGAATTACGTTTGAATAATCTACAAATTAATACATAAGGGGAATTCTTAGTCATCATCCTATATATAACAATCCACTGGACGTAGGCCACTTCTTAGAAAGGAGGTTTTGGCCTACTACACCACGATGGCCAGACGGGTTGGTATAGGGTTTGTGTCAAGTTTTCCTTCTCTTTGCAGTACTTTTGTCCTGCGAAGTTGATCCCTTAGTCGGCTCTTACGATACCCATTCGATGAATAGAGGTGGCGACACTCCGTATTCTTAATCCGTCACCACACTGATAGAATTCTTAGTATGCATTTTCAAGAGGAAAAAACAACGTATGTATGTTTATACAAGAAGTAGAGTAAGCTAAAATTGTTAAACAGTATTTGCATTAAAGTGAAAAAGATCATAAAACTTTAGGGTTCTTAGTGATACAGATCCTGCCATAAAACAAAAAACTTGAAAGCGACACTTTACATTATACTGGAAGGAACTAAAACAATCACTTTTTAATCTAAAGATGCTTTACATTATATTTACCTGCAATCATCATCATCAGCCTATTGCAGTCCACTATTGGACATAGGCCTATAGACATCTTCCATTGCACGCCACTTTGATCGTTTTTTTTTTGCAATAGTGGTACGAAATGAGACATCAATCAACTCGGCCGTAAAGGTTGACTGTATGATACATCGCAGTGTATACTTACAGCGTGCTAGACGCCAGATTGGTGTCCTCGTGCTTGAGCTGTCCATCGAGCGCCAGTCCCCACTTGTCCTTGTTGTTGGCGAGTAACGGAGTCACCGTGAACACCTTGCTTAATGTGAAGCCTGGACCAACTGGGCATCCCTCCCTGCAAGCGTAAGAATTGTTTACGTTAATCATTGTGACAATTTCTAATTCAGTTATGATACCATTTTTATTTTATTTTGAAACTAGCGATCCGCCTCGGCTTTACACGAGTGCGATGTAGATACTACTAATACTACTGTGGTGTCAGAGTCGAGTAATTAATTATACTGTTATTATGATAAGACTATACTATAGGCCATCTTTATATGCAATATTTATAGGCCCGCTCTACTCCTGTCTGCCACTCGGGACGGATGTACAGCCCGACGCGGCGACGGCCTCTATGCCCCCGAATTTTAAATCTCTGATATGTACTAAGATATTCATTTTAATGACATGCTGTCAAGGAAAATTTTGATCTACATGAAATTCACAACGTATCTAATTTATTTATTTGGATAAGGATTATAGGTACTGTATTGTTCAAAAAAGCTTCGTAAATTACCCAATATTTTTTGTAATATGTAAAACGCAAAAATGTTTACTGTGGGTTATCCTTAGGAGATAGACATATAGCATCGCGGACTTTTTTGTAGATATTTTTAAGATATACGATTCCGTAGTACCTTGTTTTGTATTTATCTCGTAAGCTTTTGCAATGTAAGCGGACAAAAACATGATACAATTTTGGATATATAATTTGCAAAAAAGATGACTGAATTTAATTAAATAAATATGTCATAAAACCTACTTTAAATATATGTTTTAACTATTTCGTAGTTTTTTTTTTTTTTTATTAAATATTCTGTTATACATGTAACTCTATTGATTTATTGCACGCACGCTCTAGAACCTTTACAATAGAGGTATATAATACATACATATATCTACTTTTTATGTAAAATATTCTCGATTACAGCGGCATCAGCAGGTAAATCATTCATTCCTGTTACGGGTATTTTAAATTGTCAGGAGGAGTAATAGTTCTACCCGAGACGGCGTGCGGTTTTAGTCGGTTCGAGTCCGACATGCCATGGTGGTATCCGAGGGGATTTCCGCACGGAAAAAAAGAAAAAAAAAGTCAATCAGTCAGTAGTAAGCTTAAGATATTACGCCGGCTGACGTTTAGGTTGTAAACAAATAAGATAAACTGTTTGTGATACTCAAATCCAATTAATCAAAAATAAAGGTTTTACCAAGTTCCGTGTAATTAGTCACACTCAATCATCGCATTAATTTAAAACAAACTCGACATTCCTAATTAGTTTTAGAACTTCATATAAGTAATCAGTTTGCGCACAAACTTTCGTGATTATGAAATATGTGAGTGGAACATAACGGAAATTAAATTTCAAAATATACTTAGTGAAAACCAGACAGCTACGCTGAGTTAAAATATTGTAAATGTTGGCCCAATGACAAAAGTAGGTAACTTTTCGGAACAGCCGTACATTTGATTGACGTGAAAACTGTTTTGTTTAAATTCTGGCCGGGCTGATGTCTTCCCATCTCATTTTCTTCTTTGTATGATTATACTAGCGAATATGTATTTAACAATATTTTAACAATTATTGAACCAAACAACTAAAAGCAAAAGAGTTTAAAAGTCAAAAGCACTACACTTAACGGGTTTCGTATTGGTATAAGAAAAAAAGCAAACCACTGGATCAAACAAATCATGTACATATATGACATGCTCCAATACGCACACTGTACTTACACGGGCTGCATACTGTATTTTTTGTTCAATATCCCAATGTATGGGAATCTAAATAGTCTCTTCGTCAACGACTTTGGTTTCCTGAACAATTAATGTGAGTTTTCTTTACCACCTAATTTGTATTCGTAGAGTTCATAATTGTGATTCAACTCTTAGAACTGAGGTATCTGAGATCAGTCCTGGTTAGCGTAAATTTTGTGTCCTTTTTTAATAAATAAAAAATGAGAACATTTTGCATAGATAACGAATGGAGAGATATGCAATTTAATTGAACCTAGTTTAGTCTAAGGCAAATTAAAAACAAAGAGAGAGTAGTTAACATAAAATGGCAGAAGCTGTGAACATATATTATTTTTGTATGTATTAGATCAAAACATTACGTATTAATATGCGTAATGTTCAAACTAATGTTCTTAAGACATTATTGTACAATACATTGTTTGTGTTCCTTAAAATAAAATAATAAAGGGCGAGCTAAGAGCGACGAAGGAAAACAAATTATAAAAGTTTAGAAGTCTGTATGTGGTATAATAATGCTTATAAGTATAATAGTAAGGTAAAAAATCAGTACAGAATATACTTATCATCAAAATGATCCGAAATAAGGCATTAATTAATGGAACTAGCTGACTAATCTTATTATAAACTGTAACTGTATATGAATAAGGTTTAAACTCACTCGCTCTCTGTTTCAGCGACCGTGCATTTGTACTGAGCAGTAGAGAAGAGACAGATGTCCGCGAACTGACGCACTGACACCTTGATGCGCTTTACTGATCTATTGGAGTTGTTTGCTATGTGAACATTCACTGCTATGTTCTCGCCATGGTGGTATAACTCCTGAGGAAAAATAAGGTTTTACAAGTTAATTTGAAACAATATATTTTACTTTAAAACAGGTGGTTAGATATAAATTTGGCTTATCTCAGTGTTGCCAACTTTCAATTTTGCCCTAAGAGAAACCAAATAAGCCAAGGGTGGAAAAATGCTTTAGTTTTATCATACTTTTCTCATCAAAAGGTACCTTATTGTAAACTATGCCGTTGTGGGATTACAAAACGGTGTTCATTTATATTATTTCGGTGAGTTACGAAAACAACAAGAGAGGAAATCAATATTTGACAACACTGTCTTCTCAAAGGAGTTTAGTTTTACCATAACAAAACAAGTCAAACAAGCACTGAATATTGTGGCAAGATATGTGGTGCCAATTTACAACAAAGTAGGTACCAATTTTTCTTTATAACTATTTAAATTTAGCAATTTTGTAGTTTGTTCTTCAAGCTACTATAGGCTTAATTCCGTTCCCCATCGCAGGTATCAGTTACCTCTATTCTAGTAACATTGCCATATCCTTTTTTCTTTATCCTAATTTATCTTCTTTTTTCCTGTTTTACAACGATAAAATTGAGACGATTCCTAATGAAGATGAGCAACTGGCAGGCGGCCGACCAAAGTAAAAATAGTGGGTGCTTACAACATAAAAAGTCTCAGCTTACAAAACTTCAAGTTTGTAGCGGTTTAGGCTCTGCCTTGATACATTAGTAAGTCAGTCCAAGTACTTTATATGTACAGATGATTCCCACGTTTCGCACAACTGTATATAGTCAACCGTTATTTACCTTATCTAGTGAAGCCTCGAGGTACAGTTTGTTGGGACTCATCATGAACTCTTTTGAGACCTCCACCGAGGGCTGCTCTCCTTGCTTGCTCGGCGCGTACATTATCTTCCTAATCGCCAGTCGCACCGAGTTCCTATAAAATTAAAATGACATTAAGATTATATATAGATATATTACATCAACAGCCTTTAAGAGTTCACTGCTAAACATAGGCCTCTCCTTAGAAAGGAGGTTTTGGCCTACTATACCACGCTGACCTAACGGGTTGGTATAGAGGTTGTGTCAAGCTTTCCTTCTCTTTGCAATGCTGTTGTCCTGTGTAATTTCTTCCCTTAGTCGGGCTCTTACGACACCCACGGGATGAATAGGGGTGGTGACACTCCGTATTCTTAATCCGTCACAACACGGAGTGATATGTATTACACTTTACACATATCACTGGAACAGTTTCCGTACATATTATAAATATATACATATTATGATATATCTACCATAGCGTAGAGTCGCGGGTTGGATTGCTATTCGTTTCTTTATATACAAAAAAACTATGTTTAGGTACTTAAGACCAAGAATACACACAACAATATGTATTTCTGGACAACTTTATAATGATGATGATGACGCAATGGTTGTATTTTACCTCGCCACTACGCCGCTTCAAGCGTTTCGGGTTGGATTCCCATATGTAACAAAGAATGTTTAATATAGATTTTCTTTGTGTTCGTTTTTTAAATGTAAAGTATTTAAGTTTCCTACGACACGAGGGGTTTTTTCTAGTACTCGTGTTGTCTTATTTAAAGAGAAACAAAATGGTATATATGTAATTTTATCAATTTTCGAGATGTAAATTATAGATATGAGATACCGAAAGATTCTAGCCTAAGAAACAGAATAGGTAGGTGAGCCGTCTTAAAGAAATATCTGGCGACTTTTTTTTTTAAAAGACTCCCGCATTAGGAATATATCCAAAGTCGCGAGGGACTTTACAAACATGAAACGGACACAAAGGACACCCAGACTCAGAACGATAATTTGTGGATCACACGAAGCGTCTGGAAGCGTCGTCCAATGTGGGGATCGGACCCACTCGGTGTAGTAGTGAGCGGCGTGGCGACCGCTTAAACCACTACGTCATCCTTCCAGTCCTTAATAGATTCCTGAACGCTGTTTGATGACGTTAGACAAGTAACAAATATAGTAGTCATATAGTACCTCTTGTGTGGTTTGTCATCTTGCGAGTCGGCGACAAACGCTTTCAGTTCATAGTCGACACCGCAAGGCTTGCCAGTCTCGCCGGGAGCGGGCTGCAGCGTGACCGAGGCGGGGCAGTGTGGAGGCAACTCAAAGTAGAACGGATGGGCCGCCGCGCCTAACTTGCGGACTAGGCGCTCTTGCAGCCGTGTAAGTGGCCGCTTTGTTGTGTTCGTCGATGGGTATATCTGGGACGAATTACAGATGCACTTCAGCTTTTTACATTTAGTAAGTTATTAAAAAAATCTCTGTATTGTTATACACTGGACAGCAAATAAACCGAGCCACCCGCTACCTAGGCACTCTAATTCGATTTTCTCAAAAACTAAAAAACCTACAATTAACAAAGTTGTACCTACAGAAAGTGCGTTTCATGGTGATTAAAATGAAAGAAAAACTCATTGGGTTTAATCAATATTTCAGTGTTTATTAAGGATTTTACAAAGAAGAGTCGTTTTCCAGTCGTGACAATCGTTTGTAATGATAAAGTGAAAAAAAAAAATTAAAGCCAAAAACAAAGATAAAATCAAAAAAAAGTTTTTGATCAATATTCCGTATTCCCTCCCCTTGCTCGGATAACTGCCAGCATCCTTGTATTCATCGACCTTACGAGCCCGACGATAAAATCTTGAGGAATTGTATTCCACTCCTCTTCAATTGCGATTCGCAGCTCTGGAAGCCTTGTTGGAGCAGGTACCCGGGCTCGAACCCGACGTTTCAGCTCATCCCATAAGTGTTCTATCGGATTCAAGTCCGGGCTTCGTGCTGGCCAGTCCATCGTACGAATGCTGACGTCGCGTAGATACTGGGTCACCACATGAGCAACATGAGGCCGTGCATTATCATGCATCAATTGCATATCCTGTCCGATATATCCTGCGTAAGGTGCCACATGGTCTGCGAGGATTTCAGTAATGTAGCGATGAGAAGTCAGTCCACGTGTACGGCCCGTCGGTTCGATGAAAACTAACGCTGTATGTGCTGTTAATGAGATGCCGCCCCAGACCATTACAGATCCTCCTCCATAAGCAACAGTTTCCTCGATGCAACACTGAGAATAACGTTCTCCAGGGCGACGATATACTCTCTGACGTCGATCACTTCCATGTAGACTCACCCTGGTCTCATCAGTGAAGAGTACATTACTCCACTGCTCTAATGTCCAATCCCTATGCTCTCGAGCAAATTCAAGTCATGCTCGACGGTGTGCTACCGTTAATGCTGGGCCTGTTGCAGCTCTTTTTGGGGTCAGGTTCCGTTCAGCAAGTCTCCTTCTGACGGTATCTGAACTTATGACCACTTGGCGTTCGTCACGCAGACCTGTCTGCCCGTACCTGGACGGCGATCGAATGCTCCAGTCTCTAGGTATCGTCTGTAAACTCGTTGCACCGAAGATCTGCTGATTCGAAGCCTTCGAGCGACTTGACGTTGCGCAATGCCTGCTTGAAGTAATGCTACAGCTTGAGCTGCTTCCTGAGGTGTTGTATCCATTATTAATCGAAAAAAGTAGCAAAAACACACGCGTCTGAGCAAACGATGGACAAAAACTAAAGAAATGATAAGAAATATCCGACTACCCTCATTGTAGAGAAAAAGAACGCTAATTTCAAACTCTGGTGAAAACAGAGCAAATCGTTAGCATTGTGTTTGTTGCTTGATTACAATGTGAGTTGACGGTACTTTTGAATTAATTTTTAGTCATTTTAATCACCATGAAACGCACTTTTTGTAGGTATAACTTTGATAGTTGTAAGTTTTATACTTTTTGAGAAAATCGAATCAGAGTTCCTAGGTAGCGGGTGGCTCGGTTTATTTGCTGACCAGTGTAGATTTTTTTGTCTATTAATACGTGCATAGAAATCTTTACACGTTTCACGAATGTAAATTTACTTGAAATTTGGAAAACTTAGTTTATGTACGAGTAAAAGTGCAGACAGCTAAGCTAGGAGGGATAGCAAAGCTAGAAACTAGAGTGAGTGTTTGTGTGTTTATTTATTTTTTATGAAATTACTTATAAAAATACATATTGAAGGAAGATTTATTTTATTTCCTTCTACGTAACTTTTCAACTTATAAGACGAACAGATTTTTAAGTCAATTTTTTTTATCATTTCAAAGCATTGAAAACAGATATCAAAGAATGAATATTTATCAATGAAAACGTTATACATATGTATATATATTGTTCCTATTGAAATAATAAAGTTAAACAAAATTATTTATTATAAGGTCCCAAACAAATTATTATTTATTGTACAGAGAAAACAAGTCTCCTTTAAATAATAGTTTGTTTTAGCATATCCCTGAAGATCTAGAGAGTCTGTATATAGCTCTTAATAAAGTTATCACCCGTTCCAAGATCGACTACTAATTCGTTCGTTATAGGTTACGGTTCAGCGGATCCATATCGGATTAACATTCAACAAGCTCGCTTAATTTATTTTGTCTACGAAAACCGGCTGTTCATAGGCAATCCACTTAGATGAGTGTCGGTTTGCCGTGGAGGGAAGACGAAATTATACAGTTCCGACTACCCTATACTGAAAGCGAGAGAGTCACTAATCTAAGCATTCGCATACCTATCTTTGATTCACGATTGTTTCCACAGCCGTTTATCTAATAAAAGTAGAGTAGAATGAGAAACGTTGTGCTGATTGGAAAACACGTAATAATGATACACAATTATGTATACGCATGGTGTTAAAGCGATCGCAGGAGAAACGCGAGAATACGGATACAATATGTGACAGTACATAGCGTAAAGAAAATATGTGCGGGTCGATGAAGAACCTTCTACTTCAAGGATTCGACGACAGAGGGCGTGCACTGGCTCAGTAGTGCACGCCCTCTGTCGTCTGCCTGTGATCACGGTCAACGCAGCTACGAAAACATTGGGCAATTCAATGGCATGTAATACATATGTACGTAATCCCGTTAATTATCGTATGTATACAAAATTATGAGTCATGAAAGTTAAAAGTTAGTATATAATAATGATCATAAATATTCTAAAATAAGCCATAGTGTCCCACAGCCATAAAAAAAAGGGCAAAACCAGTAGCGTATAATTTGTGAACTTGTAATTAAGCACATCTACTTCAACTAAACTACTACACAAATTGGTCAGTTATTACCGTGATCTTGATTACCTGTTCAGCGGCCAGGTAGAGGTCCTTTCTGAATGTAAGCCCCAGCACATCCAGGTCCTCGCGTCCGTACCTGAACGCAGCGAGCACGTGGCCAAACACCTTCCTGTCCTTCACATATTCTGGATCGATTAATACGACGCCGTCTGCAAATGTACATACATAATATAGTTAATATATACTATATATAATATAATAAGATATACTATTCTCAGAACAGGGTTTTTCGGTTTACTAGATGCATAAAATACATTTTACACTATCGTTTGACGTGGCTACCGATGCTCATAAACACGAGTGATGTCACTCCCTTTTTTTTCTGTGCCGAAATCCCCTCGGATACCACTCACCGGTGGCTATATCGGACCGACTTAAAACCGCACACCGTCTCGGGTACCAGTATCCGGGGAACCAGGTGTACCCTATAGAGGAAATCCCAGGTACCCCAACGTACCTCGGGCCATCTACGGCGGGTAGATGACCCCCTCTTGTGTGAGAACCCCCATGTTCCCTTTGTGCTCTGGTCAAAAGAGAAATGATGTGAGAATTTTAAGATTGAGCTGGTTAAGTAAAACCGAAACTCCCAATAGACAGTCACCGTTACGCGATGAGGTGAAATCAACTGAAACAAAATATAACACAATATGGTATTTTTCATACTACGACCATAAATAAAAGGGCCACGGAACGGGTGAGATCTGTCAGTCAGCCCAAGTTTACAGTACCGAACTTATTCCATAGACACTCGGTAAAACAGAACGCGGCTTGACGTTATGGAAAACACATCTCAGAACAATGTTTTGCAACATGTGTACATGATATCTCGTTTAACTTCTACAACATTCTTTTCTGGATAGCATTAAATAATTCCTCGTCAGTAGTTGGAAACTATACTGCTTATTCAACAAGAAAATAAAATTCAAGCATTATTTCGAACGGTAACGTTTTGTATCTCAATTGTGTGCAAGTGCACTTAACTTCGACTTCCTTTGTTATAAAGTTATACGCTTCATTTTATATACTATTAATCCTATTTTGAATCATGAAACTGTGTATTGCGAACACAATTCATATCAACATATTGCACATTCTACGTCACTCTTCTTTACTGAAAATCGATGTGAAGCATTTTTTTTCCTGCCTTTTCACCGATTAACAAGTACCAGTAGTAACTTATCATCAGGGGACCTGTCTGTTCGTTAGGCCGCCACACCATAAAAATGACAAGGTCAACACTCTACTACAACTCTATAGGGAATATCAGAGTAAGTCGTAGGTATAACTTCAAAGGCAACTTTTTAATTCTATTTAGACAGAGTGACTGACACCTTACATAGGAAAGTGCCTGAATACGCGTAACAACGCTTATTCCCAATTGACTTTCCGTTTTAGACGAACATTTTTTTATGGTATATGGGGCAAACAAGTAGACGGTTCACAATGGACGGATACATATAGTTCAAGAGTCACAAAAGCATTCCTCCAGAACTATAGAGAGAATCCTCCAGAAATCCTGTATATTGATACCAGTAAATTTATAATATAAGTTGTATCTGTACCAACTAGTAAAAACATGAGTAACGAAAAGCGATTTATTTATCGAATAAACTCAAAAATAACCAGAACCTTTTTGTCAACTGTTTATTTAAACGTAACGAGTAACGAAAAGCGATTTATTTATCGAATAAACTCAAAACAAACGGATTCAATTTTGATTCTAAGTTCAAGTCCTGTTTAATTTTGAGTTTATTCGATAAACAAATCGCTAGTCTAACTAATAAACAAACGTATTCAATTCGGATTCTAAGTTCAAGTCCTGTTTATTTTTGAGTTTATTCGATAAAGAAATCGCTTTTGGTTACTGATGTTTTACGAGTTGGTACAGACTGATGCAACTTATGTATAATGTGCTCACACACAAAGCAGACTATTAAAGTAATTTATACTGGATGATATGAACAAGTTACATCTTCCTCGATTAAAAACCCACACATTTGACAACAGGTTAGACAATTTAAAGTTATGTACTTAATATCTATTGTGAGCGCGGTAATTCCCGTTTTTTTATATATAGGGGAATTTGCATAGTGTATATACTATATATATTTAATGACCAAACCGTTATGCTCTTACCAACCTTAATAGAGGTGTTTTTGAGTTAGACAAATAAGTTGTTAAATAAAAAGTCAATAAAATAATTAAAGCTCATAAATTCGATTCTACGAAGCTCTCTTCATGCCTTCTACTGAAATATTCAGTTTATTATTTAATCAATACACTTCATTAAGGCGATGACATTTACCGCAACACGCACATCGCCCCGGAACCGGTGCAATAACACTCATTCATAGGAGTCTTGTTATGTCAAGAGTCTTTTCATTCAGCAAACTACACGTGCGTCATTGTGAATCACAGATTTTTAAAGTCAAAACTGATTTGTTATTAAGAGGATATTTATTTGGATGGAGAACAGCGGTGAAGAGCCTAAGGTCTATCTATACCTACTAACTTCATTTTTAGAAATAATACAATTTTTTTTTCAGTTGCAACAATATTAAATATATTTAATTATGTATACGTACGCGTATGAACACTGGCCGTGATTACAGACTGACCAGTGCAACCTGGTCGAAATAAAAGGTCAAAGGTATGTACGTAGGTATCTATACATAACTATATATCATAGAACGCGGATGATTAAAAGTTAGTAAATTATTCAAAAATATAAGCATCGCCCAACTATGAATTAATACTATATAATAAATTATATTAAGCACTTTCTCTCTAATTTCCAGTTGGCACTTCGCCGTCGGAGAGTTTTTAAGTTCGATAACAATAACGCATTTTTTTTAAAATGACACACGTCGCCATCCAATCTCAAATTAAGCAGAGCATGTACTATGAATGCTAGATTGACTGATAGATGTATACTATTTTTTGTAAATACATAATATTATATACATAGAAGACACCCAAACTTTGAAACAAATATTTGCAAAACATACAAAGATATCGTCCTTTCCTGGAATCGAACCCTATTCCTTAGCACAGTAATGCACCAACGAGGCAGTGCATACAATGGCAGTGATTAGTAGGCAGTGATTTCAAATGTAATTGCTACTTACCAATCGGGTCTACGTGTGTGATATGATCTACGAAGTCTCTTTTTCCTAAGTATACTGTGATCTGTAAACAATATTAACCCAGTTAATATACATCATAATATTGTCATATAAACAGTTACTATGATCAATTCAGGGATGAAATAACCATAAAGAAGAACGTTGAGCGCAGGATAGGTAATAGATAAAACATTATTAGTGTAATAATGTAAATGTTTCAGACAAGTAATAAGGGTCTTGTTAATCTTGCTCGTAGCTCGAGATACAATAACGTAATTATATTATATGATATGTAATAAAAATACTCAACGTCTTATTCGTCGAACATAATAATTAAAAGCATGATAGCAGAATGCCAATCTTCGACTTTATATCCCAGACTCATAAAAGCGTAATTCAATTTATCAATGGTCGCATCGTAATGAGCGATATTTGGATAATATCGTATTTCAATTGATATTAAACCTTGTTGATCTGAATACAATACAAGTGACAAAAGATAAAGAGTTTCAAATAGATTTATATAATGAGAACATTAATGCATATAATATAAAACTTTCAGAATCTTTAAAAAAAAACGACGAACGAGCAAACGAAATTCAGCTCATTCTTGCCTATTTCCTAAGTAACCTTTACACAAAAATAAAATTGTTTTGGAGAAGCTAAACTTGCCCGACCGAGCAAAAAGACTACAAATTCTTTTTTTCTGATTAAATACAGACCGCGATAAGATAAACCCATTGAAACCCGTTCAATAGGACGCTCATCGATGTATTACATATATATAATATAATATATTTAAGGATTTATTACAAAACCTAATTTAATCTATAGTCTTTTTTTTCACCCCAGATCTCAGATATTGTGATATCAGAGTACTAATATATATAATATATTTTTATACGACATTACTCCAGGAAGGTCTCGAGATCAAATAGGATGATTATAAAAGCGCTCCAGGATAAAAAGTCGTGGCAAAAGGTGTGAAAGATAATGAACGTTCTGAAGCACTCAATTTAAATAAAATTTCAACATTTGATTTGTTAAGATACCATTTGAAATTCTTTATTGTAGGGTGAAGGTACTTTAAATGTAATGAGAGACGAAGACCTAAGTAAAATATAATCTAGTTTAATGTTTATAAAAATTAGTTACACGAATCCTTTAAATTTTACTAGCTTTATGTCGTGTATGTCGGTTATTGCGATGAAAAGTAGACTATGTCCTTCCTCAAGAATCTAAGTATCTCCATGCCAAACTTCATCAAAATCGGTTCAGCTGATTACCCATGAAAGCGTTACAGACATAGCGGAGTTACTTTCGCATTTGTAATATTCGTTGGGTTTAGGTAATGAATACAAAAACGATCTTTTCAAAACAAAAATGACAGAGGATTCCAATATTTTAAATAGTGCAAGTATGTTAATAACAGTATTACCTCATCAGAGTGCTTATCATATAGATGTAGTATTTATGTTTTTTAATAATATTCGAGTGTTACCTTGCCATTTGGCGAGCTCTTCTTGAAGACTCGTGTGGCTTGCCGTTGTTTGTTGCTGCCGGCGTCGTCCATTCTGCCGCCGCGCCCTCCTCAACACTGCACAGATAACATTATGAACGGTTAACACGTATCATTATATTTATGCGTATCGTATGGGTAAACCAAAGTCACGAACAGGATATAACTATAAGGAAAATGTTAGGAAGGCAATCATTTTGAGGAAATAAGCGCTAAAGTCTTAACATTTAAATAACCTATGAATGTAAGATAAACTTGAATGAAGCTTGTGAGTGAAGAAAATTGTTAGGATTTAATTCCAATGACACACATTAGCTAGAAAATTAAAAAACAAAACATAAATTTGTCATAAAGTTTTGAGTGGGTTTTAAAGAGTGTTGTGTTATATATGAGTATGTATAAGTTTGTGTAAATTATTTAATATTTTAAGACGTAACCTCTGTGCACCTACCTTACAAGATTTCTACACCACCCAAAGGTTGATTGGAAGAGAATGAATGCCGTGGGCATCAAGTCCGCCGATGTACAAAAGTGCATAAAGTTAAATAAAATAAAATAATGAAATTCATAGGTACGAGTATAACGTTATGCTGGTAGGCCTTGTCTGTAGATATTTTACTTTATTTTTGTGTAATGGGATAATTAACAGCTACACGTTTGGTAATAGCTAGTTTAAAATGAGAGTAAATAATCTATTGGGTAAACGTGCAACCCACACAAATAATATTTTAAGTAATGAAGTGCAAATCGTGCGTATTTTACATATTTTTTTAAATTGTTTTTAATGTAAAAAAAATATAACTTGATAAGTTAATTTAAACTTGATGAACCAGTTCATCCGTGATCATGGCGTTTGCAATTGTTCCGAAATATCTAGTACTACTAACTAATTACCTAAAATAAACTTGGTAAATACCCGCTTACAATAACTTATCAAGTGACAATGAAAATGGTAGTTTGAATCAATAAAAATGTAACTGATTTTTGTTATAATTTGTTTTAAATATTTATACCTGCTAATTGATGCATGGAGTTGTCATCAATTATTGAATACCAAATAACTTTCACTCTTCTCAAGATATACCTACTCAGCGCAATTTTCCCTGACTTCTCTCGTTATAACTAAAGTACTTGGCTCGTTTTGGTATAAGAACACATTTAGTACACAGTATACATTTAACTTAAACTTAATGTTGCAGAGCACAAGGGCCCTACTTGTGTTATAAGTATATGATAGTGTGTGTGTGTGATGAAACCAATTTTCTACGCTCAGGTAAATGCGATTTCCCTTGACATTGGTAATGAGACTGGCATGTTCATTTATATAGTGGAATAAACTTGGTTATTCGAAGGACACCGTTGTTTCTAGCCTAACCTGAAACTACCCACCAATTATTTACACGAAAGTGTCTGCGGTCCGACATTTACGGTCCAATTTTGGGATACATAACTTATGAATATACTTATGATACCCTTTGAATTTAATCCACTGTTTACAGGCTAGTGTCTGATTCTTCGTTATATATTTTTTCGGGAACAATTTACGCTTGTTTCTTAATATGTTCCTAACAAGCAAAATTTTACGTTGATTTCTTCATCGAGCCTCATAAAAGCATATAATTGATATGGTCTGGCAGTGGCAGGTTACCTGTAACTATTACCGACAGTTGTCAAGATTTGAGAGCAATAAAGAGGGCTCGAAAGAAATGGAAAAAATTAAACTAGGTCCATGGATGTTGTGTTGTACATGAGTTTTTTTAAAATAATATAAGGAATGCATCTTTTAAGTCATTTTAGAATGTAAGTAAAAAGGATAAATAATTTAATTCACGAGCTTAATATTGTGAATTTAATTTATTGATCATGCAATTTTATTGTTTTTATTAAAAAGATTGAACAACGAGAATGGTTCAATTTCAATAAGAAACTAATGAAACGCTTTTCCAATCGTATATAAAAATTTAGTTATTAAGTCCACGAGGATGACAATAAATTTCACAGAGTCCGTAATATTTTCATTTTCCAGTCAAAAAACTAGAAGATATCCAGATGTCTACTTTACGACCGCCCGTCTAACATATGAATTATTTCTCATAAATCACGTCAGAAAACAGTTCATTCATTTTACTGCAACATATATTTTATACAGAATACAAAATATTGCGGACTCAAATAGGTATGTTTCTATTAAAACAATATTTAAAGTAGAACGACAGAATATAATTTTACTCCAATCATCTTGCGGAGCTCGACATTATCCGGTATTATTTGAGATGACAACGAGAACACGCTCGGAATACTGTGGTGACGTATTTAGCAATATCTCGCTCAAAGTTTTCTAGACCGTGAACACAAGATAATGAAAACAAAATAGGGTTACCATTATTATTGAAATGTTAACTCAGACTGAGCTAGTTTAAAAACTTCAAAATTTTAGCATATTATAAGGTCTTGTGATTATTATAACGTCTACATGACTTGTTATATGCTTCTACGAAATTCGTTTAATTTTACAAAATGAGTCGAAAACGGTTTCCAAGTTCGTTTAACTAGTCTTATTAGTTGCGTCACCACTAAAGAAAAATAAATGGACCATTACTTTTTTCCAAAGTTATTGAAACATGTTAATAATCTTAATTGGTTTAACATTGGATTGTTGAAAACTTTAATAAGAAGCTTTAACCAAACCAAATTTAGTCACACTGAAAAAAATAACAAAATAAACTTTAAAACCTTTTACGTTTAAACAACGTTAAGTACTTAATTATTATTTTATCGAACTTTTGTTTTTCAAAAGGTAAAGGCATTTGTAAAACAATAAAACATTAGTGCACTACCTTTTGCGTCAGTTAACAGTGGTAGATAATGTGGATATTGAGCATTTCCTGCCATCGCTGCATCGTCAGTCTGTCGGAACTCTCAGATCCTATTCCGTTCATTAAGCTTGTAGCTGTATGTTTGCGTAGTTCATTCAAAGCTAGTGAAATTGCAGATGCCGTTTTATTTACTTTGAGCGAGGAAATTGATATTGCAAAGTCACTAAACAGCATTGGAATAACTGAACTATGCTGTTATGACAATTTTTGATTGAATTTGTACATAGTCTTATAAATTTATGCGATAAATTCATAATAACTGAAATAGCAACAATAAACAACCCACAAGAAACACATTAATATAGAATTAGACATTCCGAAGCCTGTTCGGTGTCAAGGTGGGTGGGTGTTTGCAGAAAAAATCTTTATTATATAGTAGTAAATTAATTATGTAATTAATATATATTATGTACCTGCCTTTATCGAAGCCCCTATGTCCTTGTATTCTAATAAAGAATATCCTGTTCTAGTTAGAGTGGTACTATGAATTTAGACTCTAAGCAAAATAAATACTAAAACTAATTGTAAATTGTTTATTTATTTAAAAGAGAAAATCGAGTTTAGAAGTTGCCGGGAAGGTTGCGATCAAGCCGGTCGCAAATCTTTTCGCTATCGACGATTCGAGTCGCTCTTCTTTGGATACGGTCCAGAGGGAGAAGCTGGCACTGTGACAGATGATAGAGATGATAACAGTATTCCATATACGGTAGGACTTAAGCCTTATAGAGTTGGAGGCGATGGGCTGGAGTGAAATACTGTCTTGATCTGTTCACTGTTCAATCTCACACAATTTCAATAACCTTTTCCGTAAAACCATGGAGGTTTCTAGCTATTTTTATTTTGTCGCAAGATATACAATTCTTAATGACTAAATTTAAATCTTTGAAACAAAGCAAAATAAACAATTTATACACAATACTCGTAGATGTTACTTTTTTCAAACTTCATTTCAAAGTCGTAGTTAGGTCCTTTACCGTAGTGTTGAGGCTTTTCAAATTTATTTGAATACGAATAATCGTTAAAATGTACGTAAATTCGATTTTATTATTAACGAGTAATTTTCAGTTCAGGCGTCTTAAAGTGTTTAATAATACTTAAAATTCATCTGACATTCAAATCTCAACGAAAACGCATAATTAAAATTAAAAGTATGTAAGTTAATGTAATTTTAAATCCATCTTTGTGGGCAAAATCGTTTGTGTTTGGACACGAGCGATTTTTGTTTAGTGTATGCTAAGATTTACTAGTATAACCTATGATGTGCCATTACACGGGCTTTTATAGTAACAAACATAAATCTGTAAAAGTGTAACCGATTAGTACATACAAAGAAATGATATCGAAATCTCTTAAGAATCAGATATTTTAGTAATCGATTTCTTTGACATACTTCAATTTGTCAGCACTGTCAAACGGTACCTCTTAGATTAGATGGACTATAAATCTTTTTTTACTGCTTTAGCCGTGAGACATCCCTTATTAAACAATTCTTCTGTGTAAAAGAAATTAACTATTATATTAAAGAAGCCGATAACAGGAGAAACAACTAGAATCTTTAGAAACTGCGGTTAATTTGCTGCAGTTTTTGTTGACCAGATCCGTTATATGGGTATACCTAGGCACTAGTTGTGTGAAGTGAATGTTTATAGTGACATACAATCACCAATTTATGGTACAATGCGGGCTATGACCTTGTTTGACGACTTAGTTGCATAAAATGGTGTCGCACTTGGTACCTATTAATGTTTCTAAAGCAAAATTAATGTTATGGGAAACTGAATACATTACTGAATAATTATGAGAGAATTAATTAAAAGATGTTGGTACACAAACATTGAATTAATTTACTAACAAGGATCATAATAATAAGTAGATAGATGACACACATTCTAGGTATTTTAAATGTTTAGTGGACAAAATGTTTTACGAGAAAAAGGGTGTTACTAAATTCGAAAGTTAAAATACTTTCTGTAAATCTGTTACATAAATTACGAGTATGACTATGGTTTTTCCATTTTGGCTTTGCTCGGCGTAAGGACATCACTGGAGAACAGAGGCTCTAGTGTTAGCTCTAGGCTTTAGTTTCTCTCACATTAATTCGCTCTCGACGGCGAGCGATGGAGATTTCAGTGCGGACCAATCACAACGCCGAACTCTGCCACCGTGACTATCAAGTAGATGTGAAATAAACTCGCAATTGGCCTTCAGTACATTTTATTCTGAACTAGATATAAACCACGCTTCGCTGTAGCACATTGTGGCTGTGTTGATAAGAAAAAAAGTAACAAAACTGTCTGACTGACGCCAAAAATAGATTGTTTGAAGCTTGAATGTTTGTACGTCATATAGTTAGGATTACTAGAAGTACCCGCAAGCTGCGCAAATGCCGCATAAAGTAAATAAGCATTTGCTTGTATAAGTTGTTCCCCATTAAGGAAAAACATAAAAATATTTATTTATTCTTTCTTCTGTCTCGGTTTTTGAGCCACACAGCATCGTGGTTATCCTTATAAAAATCTCAAGAAAGTTTTACCAGGATCTCATGAATAGTTAAGGTAAACATAGAGGATAAACTTTTTTTTACATATAGATAGTCCCATAGTGTAATTTTGACCATAACTCATTCAATTTTAAATATATGTTTAAATTTTCAAAACAGAGCCTACTAATGGAGTAAACTCTGCAGAATTACAGGATAACAGCACTGCAAAGAGAAGAAAAACTTGAAACAGCGTAGTATAGTAGGCTAAAACCTCCTTTCTAAGGAGAGGGCGTAAAATTTTCTTTAAAAATGTACAAAGAATTCTCTTTACATACATATCTGTATATGGATTTAAAATATCCATTGGAATATAATTAATACACACAACGTGTTATTCAAAAACTCGCCTTTTCATGTATTAACGATTTGGATTGGAATCAGTTTACTGTAATGATTACGTGCAGGTGTGGAGGCTTATGGTCACTACGTTGAACATTTACCAATGGAAGCGATGAAGAGTGAGTTATTTGTTTAGGGGCAAACCACACAATTTCACATTCGTGGACTTGCCCCGACCCTCTTATACGCTTCTTTTGTTTATAAGATGTATGAAAGGACGTTTGGCACGAGACACGACATCCAAATATGTATTGTGTTAAATTGCCTTCACGTAGGTACTTTGATCGCTAAACAGATCTGTGTGGTGCGAATGTTTGCACTTAATTGATGCATGTGATTTATACGGGTCGATAAACGTCTGTTAACACAATCTTAGGCCCGTATTTTAAAAGACGTCTCAAGTGTCAGTTGAACTCTGATTGCCTGAAACTAGTTTTAAGTGCAGATCAAATCTTAAGTATCGATCTTATTATAGAACGCGTTTTATGTTTTACTCAGTTGAAACTAGTTTCAAGTATTGATTTGAACTTACAGTCTGTTCTCAATTACGTTTTTGCATGTTTGACATTATTATTCCGCATTACGCAGCTAATTATTTAAAAAGTACTTTTCTTTTACAAACATAATTTCTGTGAATTTGTATATAATGTACTATTGGCTAGTGTAGCAATGTTAACATATTAACAAGCTTGTTGTTCGTTCAAAATTAAATATAATAAATATTAAAATAAAAATGACTAGCTGTATGAATAGGCTATAACGGAACGTTCAAGTTATTTATCAACACTTGTCATGTTGAAATGTCAAACGATGTTTATATTTGATATTTCTGAAATTTACATTACTATACTTTTATAACATAAACCAAAAGGTTGTGGTAATTTAAACTGGTATTGTGTGTGTAAAATGTGAATTTTGGTGAATTTCATATCAATAAAGGTTAATTAAAGTGAAATTGATTGTAGTATGACAAGTAATTCTTTCGTAAATGAAGTAAAGTAAATCTTTCGTAATTATTCAAAAACAAATAATCGTGAAACACATTAATTTTCCCTAAATGCCCTAGAAATCACCGCTTGAGACTAGTTTCAGCTTGTCTCACGTAAACAAAGATCACAGCTGTCAAAATCTATACCTGAGTAATGATTTCGACATAAACATCGTTCTAAAATAAGCTATCACTCACTTGAGTATGGATCGGTGAATCTCGTTTTAAGTGACGTTCAATAATAAAATCTCTACTTAAAATTAGTTTTAAGACTAGATTCACGACTGAGACACCTTTTAAAATACGGCCCTAAGTGTTTTTTTAATGTAGGTATGGGGGCAAACGAGACGGGCCTCAATTCTGCTATTTTATGTTAACGTCAAGCCACGGTCATTCAGTTAACACGCTATCGAGATGCCACTGACATCAGTCAAAACATCGGTATTCTACTAACATACTCGTAAACTCACAGTGTCAAAAGACTATCGATATAGTAATATAGGTAATTAATGGTGATAACAACAACAAAATTAAATATATCATTTCTTTACAAATTTAAAATGTACCGTTTACCAAACTATTACTAAGACATCGACGACATTTGTATTAGTGACAAGTCTTACATAGTTAGTAGTATAAGAAAAGTGCAAATTATTCGACGACATTCCATCGACAGTCTATTGATACAATAGTAAGCAGCAGCAGAATTGAGGCCCAGACCGGTCACCTGATGGTAAGTGACTTCCAGTGGCCATAGTATAAAGGCAGCTCAAGAGACAACTGTATTGTCACTCTTTGGATTCCCCCAGAATTATAGGGGGATTTGGACTTCGGTAACCTCACTCACTTGAAAGGCAACGAAAAGTTACTTAGCAAGGGTTTTCTGTGAGGCATTGTTCAAATGGTAATATTAATAATGTCGACCTTTAATGAAAACTGTAAATTGTTTCCAGTTGTGAAAGTATTGTTGACATGTATCTATTCGAGTAGAGTATTTTCTTTTTATTTAATTATTTTTGTAGAATTTGTGTTTTTTAATGTTATTTTAATTTCTATTATTGTGCTTTCAATTAATTTTAATGACAACTATTTGCGTATTTGATGATTATTCTTTTATTATATTTGTACAATAACTTTGATGGTTGAA